ATTTGATTTGGCCAGGTTTCGTAACGTTTGTCATTCATTTTGTGGCACAGTCTCCGTACTTACTCTCCACGCAGCCAGAGAAAGTAGCCGCATCATCGCCCTTGCAACAAAAACTGGGCAACAGATTGGCTAGTGAAACGCAGACTCGGCCCTTTGATTGGACCAACAAACTGTCAATCAACACAGGTCGTGTGGCTCGGATGCAGCGCAAACATCAAAATTGTAGGGAGAGAATTGCCAATAATAAATATGCAACTCCAAAAATGGTTTGGCGATCAAGAATATTAACTGTTTAGTAGTGATGGGGAAACTAAGCTTCCTGAAGCATTGAGGCTTTCCAGGAAATTGTGTCGAAAATAGGTTAATTACTCTGAGCTTCATTATCCGATCACAATGCTCATTAGTGACATCTGCTGGTCAGCAATAAATAGCAATGTGTGATTATCAGATAAAGGTTATTTTTTCTCTACCAATTTCATCAAAACTCCGTCCCTCCATGGCGCAGCGGTAAATCATTGGCTTAAATAGCCTACAATCCGTTGGATTGCCAGGTTCGCACCTTACATCATGCTTCCCTTTTTTGCCTTCAAGTTTACTATTTAAAAAAAAAATGAATCTATAGCATTATTTAGGATGCTTCAGACAGAAGTGTATACTATACTAAATAAAACAAAGTATTTGAACAACAGTGCAGAAAGTGTGGTTTCACGTAAAACTCTTTTCTAAATAGTGTTCCATCAACAATATTCGAGATCACACCCTCATGTCCCTGAATGTTCCTGACTTTACCTGCTAAGCTACCGGTCAGGTGTAACCACATGTACAAAATCATAACTATATTTATGAGTACGGTATCCAGTAGAGGTCGGTGTTTGAAAGCAGCTTAATCGAAGAAAACACCGGAACCACAGCGAAATCAGTGGGATCTCGCATTTTGCAACACACGGTTTGAAAAAGCACAAGATCAAATGAAGCTTCGGAATTAATTGATGACGTACTTCTGATAGTCATACACACATCCGCACACTGCTTCGAAGATATGCCGCGTTAAAGTGCTAGTCGGAACTAGGACACTCTGACATTTCCGAAGCACCACATCATTGCTCCCTCTCTCTCTCGCTCTACTGTGTGTGTGCATCTTGCTACCTGTCACTCAAATGGCAAGAGGCTGAAGTGCATTGGCTAGAACTTGAAATTGCTAGGGGCTGGCCAACATGGGGGGAAATGTAGGGAAAATGGTGATGCACAGCTTCCAGAAAACAGTTGCTTTCAAACTAGGGAATTTGTGGCTAATTGAGATGAGACAGTAATTCTGCTCATAGATTATGCATGTATGAACTACACATTGACACATGCAGGTTTAAAAAATACTTACTAGTCGCCAAAGTACCGGAGCATGTCTTTAAGCCTGATACAGAGGCTATTTCTTTTGAGCTATTGCCTGTGTACAGTCGTGGTCAAAAGTTTTGAGAATGACAAGTATTGGTCTTCACAAAGTTTGCTGCTTCAGTGTTTTTAGATATTTTTGTCAGATGTTACTATGGTATACTGAAGTATAATTATAAGCATTCCATAAGTGTCAAAGGCTTTTATTGACAATTACATTAAGTAATGCAAAGAGTCAATATTTGCAGTGTTGACCCTTCTTTTTCAAGACCTCTGCAATCCGCCCTGGCATGCTGTCAATGAACTTCTGGGCCACATCCTGACTGATGGCAGCCCATTCTTGCATAATCAATGCTTGGAGTTTGTCAGAATTTGTGGGTTTTTGTTTGTCCACCCACCTCTTGAGGATTGACGTAAATGTAAATGATTGAGCACAAGTTCTCAATGGGATTAAGGTCTGGGGAGTTTCCTGGCCATTGACCCAAAATGTCGATGTTTTGTTCCCCGAGCCACTTAGTTATCACTTTTGCCTTATGGCAAGGTGCTCCATCATGCTGGAAAAGGCATTGTTCGTCACCAAACTGTTCTTGGATGGTTGGGAGAAGTTGCTCTTGGAGGATGTTGGTACCATTCTTTATTCATGGCTGTGTTCTTAGGCAAAATTGTGATTGAGCCCACTCCCTTGGCTGAGAAGCAACCCCACACATGAATGGTCTCAGGATGCTTTACTGTTGTCATGACACAGGACTGATGGTAGCGCTCACCTTGTCTTCTCCGGACAAGCTTTTTTCTGGATGCCCCAAACAATCGGAAAGGGGATTCATCAGAGAAAATGACTTTACCCCAGTCCTCAGCAGTCCAATCCCTGTACCTTTTGCAGAATATCAGTCTGTCCCTGATGTTTTTCCTGGAGAGAAGTGGCTTCCTTGCTGCCCTTGACACCAGGCCATCCTCCAAAAGTCTTCACCTCACTGTGCGTGCAGATGCACTCACACCTGCCTGCTGCCATTCCTGAGCAAGCTCTGCACTGGTGGTGCCCCGATCCCGCAGCTGAATCAACTTTAGGAGACGGTCCTGGCGCTTGCTGGACTTTCTTGGGCACCCTGAAGCCTTCTTCACAACAATTGAACCTCTCTCCTTGAAGTTCTTGATGATCTGATAAATGGTTGATTTAGGTGCAATCTTACTAGCAGCAATATCCTTGCCTGTGAAGCCCTTTTTGTGCAATGAATGATGACGGCACGTGTTTCCTTGCAGGTAACCATGGTTAATAGAGGAAGAACAATGATTTCAAGCACCACCCTCCTGTTAAAGCTTCCAGTCTGTTATTCTAACTCAATCAGCATGACAGAGTGATGTCCAGCCTTGTCCTCGTCAACACTCTCACCTGTGTTAACGAGAGAATCACTGACATGATGTCAGCTGGTCCTTTTGTGGCAGGGCTGAAATGCAGTGGAAATGTTTTTTTGGGGATTAAGTTCAGTTTCATGGCAAAGAGGGACTTTGCAATTAATTGCAATTCATCTGATCACTCTTCATAACATTCTGGAGTATATGCAAATTGCCATCATAAAAACCGAGGCAGCAGACCTTGTGAAAATTAATATTTGTGTCATTCTCAACTTTTGACCACGACTGTATATTTGGCAAACCTATTTGTATATGTTGTATGATATGGTGCTTTCACCATTGGATCACCAAGATCTGTAAATAAATCTGCACTTCAACCTGCCTTGCCTTCTGCTGATTTCATGCCCTTAAGACTGCTACAAGGTCCCTATTCTACAATTACATTATGAAAATGTGTTGTAGACAAAATAATGAAAAGAGCTGTCTGGTAGCCTCAATAAATACATATTTGTAGATGATCAAGTTGTTGCATGTAAAAAAAATTTTACTTGACTTGAAAAAACTCAAGACTCGACCCGTTCTACTTGGGACTCGACTTGAGACTCGGATCTTGTGACTTGAGACTTTCTTATGAGTTGAATAATAGCTACTTGGTCCCACCACAGTCTGCAGGTAGCACATGCAATCTATACAGTCCTTTGCCATTTATTCTGTACGATTCTGTATCTCTGCATTGGCGCCCTGGTGTATTCATTCAGTATTTGTGTATACCTTTGTTTCTGTCCGTTACAGAACCACTACCTTTCCCACTTTCCATCCCCATGTTCATCTTCGTCAGTGTGTGTGAATAAAGTTCCCTGTGTGTGTTACGTCTTGTGCTGCCTTACTCCCCTCTAATCGGGGCGGTGTACTTAGAGCCAGCAAATACTTAGAGCCGGGTCGCTCTCTTTCATGTCCAATAGACACGCTAGTTTTCGTTGCTAAAACGAGAGTTTCTACTGGACAAATTCAGGTAGGTCGCTCCCCGTTTCGTTCCGTTTGCTTCCGTTTAAGAAACGTTTTCCAACAGAATTTGTGTAAGGAATACTCCATTATGCTAATTAGCTCGCTATGTAGTTTGCCGGAACACCACCATGTAAGCGTACTGTAACTGGGGAGGAAGTGTAGTTCGTCAACTGGTGGCATACACAGCTTATCGATCTGTGCAAATCTACTACAGTAATTGTATATTTTTTTTATTTGAAATATTATTTATCGTTTATGAAAGATAAGGGCCATATGTTTCGAAATCAGTTTGGCAAGTGATGCTTATTGACGTTTCCAAACGTTAAAACACAGCACCGGAATTGTAGTTCACATGGCTAGTTGTGGGCGAAGTTAATCGCTGAAGGGTTTTCGAGAGCTAAACTAGGCCTACAGTACCGACGTCATCTTCATCATAATCATCATTATCAACAAAACTGTGCCACATATTTTAGTGCGCATATACACACTATATTACGGTTACGGGCACTGACAGCAAACAATGGCGGCCCGGGTGTGAACGACTGGATGAATGTTTTGTAATACTTCTCCTCACAGCAATGTATCTATTCTGATACTTCTGCAATATTGTAAACCCCTGTATGATTAAAAAAACTGTTTCGAGACCAGTAAAACTGATCACATTGTTCATTCTGCTATGAGGGCAATTGGTAAGTGGACATGGCTAGCTGGCTAGCTATTCAGAACCAACATTGAGCTTTATAGTTGAGGTCAGATTAGATAAGAGATGAAGCCCGGATGAGATAGATCAAGTCTACGTTGAGATCAAGACATCTTATTCAGATGCTCCAGTAAAAAAAAAAAAATGCAGGCATCAGTTCTTTTGTCAAATCAAAATCACATTTTATTTGTCACATGCTTAGTAAACAACGTGTAGACTAACAGTGAAACGCTTACTTGCGGCCTGGGCCCTTCCCAACAATGTAGAAAGGGGGGGGGAAAAGAGAGAAATAATAGCACGAGGAATAAATACACAATGAGTAACGATAACTTGGCTATATACACGGGGTACCGGTACCAAGTCGATGTGTAGAGATATGAGGTTATTGAGGTAGATTTTGTTAGGATAGTCTTGGAGGTAGTGCCACATTGACATTCTAACATGTTTCATTTGATCATATTTACAGATCTATTTTCAACAAGTAAAATAATGTTTTGTTTATCTGCGCAACCTAACTCTCCCTCTTCTCTCACTTTGATAGCTGTCATGAAACTTTGACATGTTGGCACGGAAACTGCACCTGCTCCGACACAACTTCCTGTCATTTGTATCCTCTCGGACTGGCAGTGACCTTGCCAGGCGCCAGTATGATGTCATCGTGGTGGGAGGAGGACATGCTGGGACGGAGGCGGCGGCCGCAGCAGCCAGATTGGGAGCAGAGACCCTCCTCATTACCCAGAAGATCACGACTATCGGTGAGAGAGAAAGAGCCTCCTGTAATTTACTTGTGGGATCAGTAGGAATAGAGCAGTGTCTCTCTGAACCACCCACCCACTCACACTCCCTCCCCCTCTCTCTCGCACCCTTCTCCTCTCCTTGTACCTCAGGGGCCCTCTCCTGTAACCCCTCTCTGGGGGGCGTGGGGAAGGGCCAGCTGGTGAGGGAGGTGGATGCTCTGGACGGGCTGTGTGGGCGAGCAGGTGACTGGGCCGGGGTCCACTTCTCCATCCTAAACCGCAGCAAAGGGCCCGCTGTGTGGGGCCCCCGGGCACAGCTGGACCGGGAACGCTACCGCCAGTTCATCCAGGTACCTACCGCTCAGCACAGCCAGGATCTGTCCAAGTTCATTTAAGTGAATTGTTTAAACAGGAATCAGACAAGTTGTTTACATAAAGTCCTGTGTGGGCTTAGATGGTAAGAGTGTGGTGCTAGCAATGCCAAGGGTTTAATTCCTGCAGGTATCACATTTTTTTAAAATTATGCACTCACTGCACTGTAAGTCCCTTTAGATAAAATCATCTACTATGTGGCATACACAAGAACACATATTGGCTCCAAATCCATTTTGCAGTGATACTCCTCTTTTTAGTTTACCATATATCTCAAGAAAGTCTGTCTATCTAGAAAATTATTAATGCTAAATCCTCTCATTGTAACCTTTGTTTCCTTGTTTGTCTCACTCCTCTGCAGTCAGAATTGCTGTCCACTCCCAGGCTGACAGTGTTGGAGGGTTCAGTGGAGGAGCTGCTGGTGTCACAACCCAACCCAGAGGAGCCTGGACACCACAGAGTCACTGGGATATGCCTGGGTAGGAAAGACTGACAGACTGATAGACTGGCTCTCTCTCACACACACACACACACACACACTACATACTACACAATGTCTCTCTTACTATCTGGTACTAGTGTTTTCCTGTTGAATCTTTGACCATTCCCCTACAGTATGTGTCTGTCCTGTGAACCTCCTGCTGTCATCTCTTTATGTAGGATGATTGTAGGTTTAAATGATGTACAAGTATTTGAAATGTAGTAGTATGCATCCTAATGAAAAATACTTATCAATATAAAATCTATTTCTCTCTCTCTCAAACTCCTCTGTCTCACAAACACACACTCCTCTCTCAATTTTAATTAAATTCAAAGGGCTTTATTTGCATGGGAAGCAAGTGGAATAGATAAACAATCTGAAATGAACAGGAAAGATTACACTCACAAAAGTTTCAAAAGAATAGAGACATTTAAAGTGTTATATTACTGGCTATGTATAGTGTTGTAACAATGTGCAAATAGTTGAAGTACGAATGGGAAAATAAACAGATAAATATAGTTTATTTACAATTGTGTTTGTGCTTTGTGGCAACAGGTCACAAATATTGCTGCTGTGATGGCTCACCTAATAGATATGGGAGTTTATCAAAATTGGATTTGTTTTCAAATTCTGAGTATGTCTGTGTAATGTGATGGAACTACGTGTCTCTAACATGGTCATTCGTTTGTCAGGAGGTTAAGAAGTGCAGCTCAGTTTCCACCTAATTTTTATGGGCAGTGGTCACATAGCATGTCTTCTCTCGAGAGCCAGGTCTGCCTAGGGTGGCCTCTCTCAATAGCAAGGCTATGCTCACGGAGTCTTGATGTAGTCAAAGCTTAATTTTATTCTGCCACTGTGTACTCGCTGTTTAGGGCCAAATAGCATTCCAGTTTGCTTTGTTCTTTTGGTTAGTTCTTTTTTCAATGTGTCAAGTAATTATATTTTTGTTTCCTCATCATTTGGATGGGTCTAATTGTGTTGCTGTCCTGGGGCACTGTGGGGTCTGATTGTGTTTGTGAACAGAGCCCCAGAACCAGCTTGCTGAGGGGAATATTCTCTAGGTTAATCTCTCTGTAGGTGAGGGCTTTGTGTGGGAATTACTTATTTTTACGTGGTTGAAGAATTTAACAGGTCTTTTCTGGATTTTGATCATTAGTGGGTATCATACTAATTCTGCTCTGCATACATTTTTTGCTGTTTTACGTTGTACACAGAGGATGTTTTTGCAGAATTCTGCATGCAGAGTCTCAATTTGGTCTTTGTCCCATTTTGTGAATTCTTGGTTGGTTAGCGGACCCCAGTCCTCACAACCATAGAGGGCAATGGGTTCTATAACTGATTTAAGTATTTTTCTGCCAGACCTAATTGGGATGTCGCATTTTATGTTCCCTTTGATGGCGTAGAAGGCCCTTCTTGACTTGTCTCTCAGATCGTTCACAGCTTTGTGGATGTTACCTGTGGTGCTGATGTTTAGGCCGAGGTAGGTATAGTTTTTTGTGTGCTCTAGGGCAACGTGTCTAGATGGAATTTGTATTTGTGGTCCTGGCAACTGGAAATTTTTTGGAACACCATTATTTTTGTCTTACTGAGATTCACGGCCTAGGTCTGAGAGAATCTGTGCAGAATATCTAGGTGCTGCTGTAGGCCATCCTTGGTTGGGGACAGAAGCACCAGATCATCAGCAAACAGTAAACATTTGACTTCAGATTCTAGTAGGGTGAGGCCGGGTGCTGCAGACTGTTCTAATGCCCTCCCCAATTCGTTGATATATATGTTGAAGAGGGTGGGGCTCAAGCTGCATCCCGGTCTCACCCCACAGCACTGAGGAAATCTGTGTGTTTTTTTCCAATTTCAATCGCACATTTGTTGTTTGTGTACATGGATTTTATAATGCCATATGTTTTTCCCCAACACTGCTTTCCATCAATTTATATAGAAGACCTTCATGCCAAATTGAGTCAAGCTTTTTTTGAACTCAACAAAGCATGAGAATACTTTGCTTTTGTTTTGTTTGTCAATTAGGGTCTGCAGGGTGAATACTTGGTCTGACGTACAGTAATTTTGTAAAAAGGCAATTTGACATTTGCTCAGGACATTGTTTTCACTGAGGAAATGTTGGAGTCTGCTGCTGTTAATGATAATACAGAGTTTTTCTTCCGAGGTTGCTGTTGATGCATATCGTACCGTAGTTATTGGGGTTGAATTTGGAGTTTAAGTATAGCCAATTACAATTTATGGTCTGTATATTTTATCATTTCATTTAGGATATCATCAACACCACAGGCCTTTTTGGGTTGGTGATTGGTAAACTGCCTCATATACACTATATATACAAATATTAGTTCAAATTAGTGGATTCAGCTATTTCAGGCACACCCATTGCTTTATAAAATCGAGCACACAACCATGCAATGTCCATAGACAAACATTAGCAGTAGAATGGCCTGACTGAAGAGCTCAGTGACATTCAACGTGGTACCGTCATAGGATGCCACCTTTCTAACAAGTCAGTTCGTCAAATTTCTGCCCTGCTAGAGTGGCCCCAGTCAACTGTATGTGCTGTTATTGTGAAGTGGAAATGTCTAAGAGTAACAACGGCTCAGCCGCGAAGTGGTAGGCCACACAAGCTCGTCTGTCCTCGGTTGCAAATCGTCTGTCTTCGGTTGCAACACCGAGTTCCAAACTGCCTATGGAAGCAACGTCACCACAATAACTGTTCGTCGGGAGCTTCATGAAATAGGTTTCCATGGCCGAGCAACCGCACACCAAGCGTCGGCTGGAGTGGTGTAAAACTTGCCACCATTGGACTCTGGAGCAGTGGAAACGTGTGTTCTCTGGAGTGATGAATCACGCTTTACCATCGGAAGTCCGACGGACTAATCTGGGTTTGGCGGATGCCAGGAGAACGCTACCTGCCCCAATGCATAGTGCCAACTGTAAAGTTTGGTAGAGGAAGAATAATGGTCTGGGGCTGTTTTACATGCTTCGGGCTAGGCCCCTTAGTTCCAGTGAAGGGAAATCTTAACGCTACAGCATACAATTACATTCTAGATGATTTTGTGCTTCCAACTTTGCAGCAACAGTTTGGGGAAGGCCCTTTCCTGTTTCAGCATGACAATGGCACATAGCGAGGTCCATACAGAAATGGTTTGTCGAGATCTGATGAAAGTACGCTCTTTGTCTTTATCAAACTAATGTTTTTACATATTTTCAATGTGGAATCTGTCTATGTTTAGGCGGGTAAGAGCGTCTGCTAAATGACTTAAATGTAAATGCCACTAGCAGTTCGCAAAGTAGGGTCGTCACTAACGTTAGTTGCCACAGCCACAAAGTCATAAACCCTGCCTGTTTCTACAACTTTGCTTCTTAAAATCTGATTTTAAACCTAACCCTTAACCACACTGTTAATCTTATTCCTAACCTTAAATTAAGACCAAAAAGCACATTTTTGTTTTCATGAATTTTTACTATATAGACAATTTAGACTTTGTAGCTGTGGTAACTAGTGACAACCGCAAAGTAGCCTATAAACTAAATGACGGAATTATTCAAAAACTGCAGCTCATTGTTGGAACACATCAGTGGCGATTTTAGCATGTAAATCTTGGCAGGGCAAACTCCCAAACATTTTTTGGATGCATTCCAGCAAAGCCACCACTACACAACACACCACTAAACAATACATTAATTGCAATATAACGGTGACAAACGGTGCCCACAAACTGTTAGGGCCTACATAAAGCTGTCCCAACAGCAGTCCCAACATCTTACCACTGCTACACCTGGCTATCAGCAGAGCCTTGTCTGGCAGCGAAACAGTTAATTCAGCCTTATTTACTGCCTTTTTAAAAAACATAGCTGATATGGCTGACTTGCTTAAACAAATGTGGATTCTACTGACAATTGAGATGTACAAACTATGGCATAAGGGAATGATGAGCGGATAAGAGGCAATTCGTAATTTAAATTAAGACAATGAGCGAGCTAAGACGGACGTAGTCAATAGAACTATTTGTTCAGCACTTTTGAAATGTACAGCAACAGAATTCACAACATGGGCCGTTCTTACAGTATTCTCCCTGTACACCAAGTCAGAACCGTAGGATAAATAAAGGGAGCATATAAGCAGACAAAGAAAGCTCTTACAATATTTTCGATGATGACATTTCTCTAAAACTGGCTAAAGGCTACATGTGCACCACCAAGTAGGCTAAATTATGAGGGGGAAAGGGACCAAATTACGGTGAGGCACATGGGCTACTAACAGCTTACTACACAACATACACTTAGTATTACTTTCTTAGCTACAGTATACATATCTCCCTGGCATAGTACATCATTTATGCAGCAGCATACAATATTTTTGGACTCACCATGTTTTGTTGTGCTGTGCTCACTTGAACATGAAGGTGGCGCGGCAGTCCTTCTAGTGGGCAAATTTTGTCATCAAACTTTGTCATCAAAGTCTGGCATTCTCTGGATTTATGGTTATTTCAAGACAACTGGGAACTCTGGAAAAAAAACAGGGTTGAAACATGACGTCAGTGATCTTTAGGTCGGAGCTTTAGAAAGAGGCCCGAGTTCCCAACTTGGAATTCCGAGTTGGATGACCGTTCAAAACGTATTTTCCCAGTCGGAGCTCGTTTTTTTCAGAGTTCCCAGTTGTCTTGAACTCACTGAAGTCTGAGATTTCCCAGTTCCGAGTTTCCAGTTGTTTTGAACGCGGTAGAAGTCATGCTGGATTGACAGCATGGCCAATGTATTCAACCTTTTCTGGCCCATGGTGTTGCATGTGAATGTTTATCCTTTTAAGCTTGGAAAAGAGACCCTTAAACCCAGACTTGGACCACACACCCTCTCCACTGAATAGCAGGCTAGGGATTGCTTTGCAATGCTTGCAGTTAGCCACTGATTCCTTCCAAACCACTCATTGTTGAATTTGCGATTTCCAACTTGTGTAATGTTTATGTCCAATGGCCGATGAGCACTGATACGTTTTATCTATAATTTCTCTTCATATAACAAGGATTGAAAAGGATTTGCCATTAGATTGTCGACTTGATTCATGATGATGACTGCTTGTCTAGCTTGCTAGCTAAGATTTTGAAAGTATGATGTTGACATGATCAGTCCAATTAAAGCTACGGTAGATATAACGTGATTTGACATCCTTTTATCTGTGGCCAATGACCTTGAGGCTTCTTGGATGGGCACTTCTAATGTAAATCAATAGCAGCACCCAAGAGGCTTGAATTTTTGAGCGCTCCCTGTAGATTTAGCGGTGACATAGTGTCCCCATGAGTGACAACACTGAGCCAATCACAGCGCAACTAGAGAACATTACCAACCTCTACGCTCTGTATTTTCCACTGGCTGCCCCTCCACCACAGAAAGCACTGAGCTAGGCTGAAACACCTGCATTTTGGAGCTGCCTTGCTCAAGAAAGCAAAAAAGAGTCCATGTTTGTATGCGGTTTAATTAATGTATTATTATTTAAAAAATTATATTGTTTGCAAACTGATATGGTGACACTTATTAATGCCAAAATAACATTTTTTTTTGCTAAACAGGTGGGGTACTGCCACTGGAACACTTATTTCCCTACTTCAGTCAACCAGTCCATTTAACATTTGTGATGAAACTGTTGTCAATTGGCAAGGACTGTAGCTTGTATCCCATCAGTTAGATATGTTTTTATAGGCATTTATTTCTGTAGGCGCACATAGCACGCGTGTGTAGAAGGAGCGGTCGGAACGCAATTGAGTGAGTGACACGGAGAGGAAAGGGAATTTAGGGAGCAGAACTGTGATGCTTGGCTTGGTTTATTTTTTGTTATGTCCCTCAAATGCACATGTACAAATGGAACAGTCAAAGAAAATGTACGTTGTCTTCAAGACAACATTTTGACCAAATAGTTTTACAGTACCAGTCAAAAGTTTGGACACACCTACTCATTCAAGGGTTTTTCTTTATTTTTACCATTTTCTACGTTGTAGAATAATAGTGAAGACATCAAAACTATAGTTAGGCACTCAAGTTCAGTTTTTTTGTCTTATTTCTTGTTTGTTTCACAATAATAAAATATTGTGCATCTTCAAAGTGGTAGGCATGTTGTGTAAATCAAATGATACAAACCCCCAAAAATCAATTTTAATTCCAGGTTGTAAGGCAACAAAATAGGAAAAATGCCAGGGGTGGGGGGGGGTGAATACTTTCGCAAGCCACTGTAAATAGCTCAATTCTGGTTCTGAATAGTTAGTCAGCTAGCCATGTCCACTTACCAATTGCACTCATAGCAGAATGAACAATGTGATCCATTTCACTGGTTTCTAATCATACAGGAGTTTTCTATCTTGCAGAAGTATCAGAACAATGCGTAAATTGCTGTGAGGAGAAGTATTACAAAACATGAATCTAATTGTGCACACTGGGGGCAGCCATTGTTTGCTGTCAGTGCCCGTAACCGTAATATAGTGTGTATATGCGCACTAAAATATGTGGCACAGTTATGATGATTATGTCAGTACTGTAGGCCTAGTTTAGCTCTCTCAAACCCTTCAGCGATTAACTTCGCCCACCGCTAGCCATGTGAAGTACAATTCCGGTGCTGTGTTATAACGTTTGGAAACGTCAATAAGCATCACTTGCCAAACGTTTTTTGAAACATATGGCCCTTATCTTTCATATCAGTGAGAAATAATCTTTAAAATGAAAAAAATATACAATTACTGTGGAATGCAGTGTTTGGTTTTCGCCAGACGTAATGGGACCCATCTCGTCCAAGAAGTCGACTCAAGTTTGCCAAAAAGCACCTGGAAGCAGCTGGATGATCATCAAGACTCTTGGAAGAATGTTCTATGTACAGATGAGTCAAAAGTACTGTATAACGTTATGGAAGACATTATGACTGGCGAAAACCAAACACTGCATTCCACAGTAAGAACCTTATACCAACGGTTAAGCGTGGTGGTAATGTGATGGTTTGGGGATGCTTTGCTGCCTCAGGACCTGGACGACTTGCCTTAGTATAAGGAACCATGAATTCTGCTCTGTATCAGAGAATTCTACAGGAGAATGTCAGGCCATCCATCTGTGAGCTGAAGCTGAAGTGCAGCTGGGTCATGCAGCAAGACATTGATCCAAAACACAATGATGTCATCTACATGAAAATGTCTAAAAAGCAACACATTTGAAGTTTTGGAATGGCCTAGTCAAAGTCCAGACCTAATCCCAATTGAGATGTTGTGGCAGGACTTGAAACGAGCAGTTCATGCTTGAAAACCCACAAATGTCGCCGAGTTAAAGCAGTTCTGCATGGAATGGTGGGCCAAAATTCCTCCACAGCGACGAGAGAGACTGATCAACAACTACAGGAAGTGTTTGGTTGGAGTCATTGCAGCTAAAGGTGGCACAACCAGTTATTGAGTGTAAGGGTGCAATTACTTTTTCACACAGGGGCATTGGGTGTTGCTTAACTTTGTTTATGAAATAAATTAAATAAGTATTGTGTTATTTGTTCACTCAGGTTCCCTTTATCTAATATTATGTTTTGGTTGAAGACCTGATAACATTCAGTATCCTAATGAAGACAGCTTGTCTGTCGAAACGTTGGTTATTAAATTATTGCATCTGAGCTCCTAGAGTGTGTGGCTCTCCTTTTCTTTTTCAAGTGTTCTACTCCGTAACATTCAGTATCAAACATATGCAAAAGTAGACAAAATTATAAAAGGGGGCAAATACTTTTTCACAGCACTGTACATGGGGATGGAAATTGGGAAAAGTAGTGGTTCTGTAATGGGCAGAAACAGAGGTGTGTGTGTGTGTGTGTGTGTGTGTATACACACATACTGAATGAATACACCAGGGCACAGATACAGAATAAATGGCAAAGGACTGTATAGATTGCATATTCTACCTGCAGACAGAGGTGGGACCAAGTCACTATTATTGAAGTCGCAAGTCTAAAGTCACAAGGTCCGAGTCTCAAGTTGAGTCCCAAGTAGAACGGGTCAAGTCTTGAGTCAAGTCCAAGTCGTGCATTCTAAGAGCAAGTCGAGTCACAAGTTTTTTTCAAGTAAAGTAAAAAAAACTCTTTACATGCAACGACTTGATCATCTACAAATCTTTGTGTATTTATTGAGGCTACCATACAGCCCTTTTCATTATTTTGTCTACAACACATTTTGATTATGTAATAGGGACAGCCAACAAGTGCTCAGCATATGTCGGAAATGGTTGGAAAAGCATTCCAGGTGAAGCTGGTTGAGAGAATGCCAAGAGTGTGCAAAGCTGTCATCAAGGCAAAGGGTGGCTATTTTAAGAATCTCAAATATAAAATATATTTTGATTTGTTTAACACTGTTTTGGTTACTACATAATTCCATATGTGTTATTTCATCGTTTTGATGTCTTCACTATTACTCAACAATGTATAAAATAGTAAAAATAAAGTAAAACTTGAATGAGTAGGTGTGTCCAAACTTTTGACTGGTACTGTATATACAGTGCATTCGGAAAGTATTCAGACCCCTTGACTTTTTCCACGTTTTGTTATGTTACAGCCTTATTCTAAAATATATTAAATCGTTTTATTCTCCCTCAATCTACATACAATACCCCATAATGACTAAGCAAAAACTGGTTTTTAGAAATTTTAGCAAATGTATTAAAAATTAAAACCGGAAATATTACATTTACATAAGTATTCAGACCCTTTACTCAGTACTTTGTTGAAGCAGCTTTGTCAGCGATTACAGCCTCGAGTCTTCTTGGGTATGACGCTACAAGCTTGGCACACCTGTATTTGGGGAGTTTCTCCCATTCTTCTCTGCAGATCCTGTCAAGCTCTGTCAGATTGGATGGGGAGCATCGCAGCACAGCTATTTTCAGGTCCCTCCAAAGATGTTTGATCGGGTTCAAGTCCACGCTCTGGCTGGACCACTCAAGGACATTCAGAGACTTGTCCCGAAGCCACTCCTGCGTTGTCTTGGCTGCGTGCTTAGGGTCGTTATCCTGTTGGAAGGTGAACCTTCGCCCCAGTCTGAGGTCCTGAGCGCTCTGGAGCAGGTTTTCATCAAGGATCTCTCTGTACTTTGCTCTGTTCATCTTTACCTCGATCCTGACAAGTCTCCCAGTCCCAGCTACTGAAAAACATCCCCACAGCATGATGCTGCCACCACCATGCTTGACCGTAGGGATGGTGCCAAGTTTCCTCCAGACGTGAAGCTTGGCTTTCAGGCCAAAGATTTCAATCTTGGTTTCATCAGACCAGAGAATCTTGTTTCTCATGGTCTGAGAGTCCATTAGGTGCCTTTTGGCAAACTCCAAGCGGGCTGTCATGTGCCTTTTACTGAGGAGTGGCTTCCATCTGGCCACTCTACCATAAAGGCCTGATTGGTGGAGTGCTGCAGAGATGGTTGTTCTTCTGGAAGGTTCTCTCATCTCCACAGAGGAACTCTAGAGCTCTGTCAGAATGACCACCTCCCTGACCAAGGCCCTTCTCCCCCGATTGCTCAGTTTGGCCGGGCGGCCAGCTCTAGGAAGCGTCTTGGTGGTTCCAAACTTCTTCCATTTAAGAATGATGGATGCCACTGTGTTCTTGGGGACCTTCAATACAGCAGAAATGTTTTGGTATCCCCAGATCTGTGCCTCAACACAATCCTGTCTCTGAGCTCTACGGACAATTCCTTCGACCTCATGGCTTGGTTTCTGTTCTGATATGCACTGTCAACTGTGGGACCTTTATATAGACAGGTGTGTGCCTTTCCAAATCATGTCCAATCAATTGAATGTACCACAGATGGACTCCAATCAAGTTGTAAAAACAGAATGCGCCTGAGCTCAATTTCGAGTCTCATAGCAAAAGGACTGAATACTTATGTAATAAGGTATTTATTTTGTATTTTTAATAAATGTGCCAACATTTATAAAAACCTGTTTTCTCTTTGTCATTATGGGGTATTGTGTGTAGATCGATGAGAGAAAAAAAGATTTAATCAATTTTAGAATAAGGCTGTAACGTAACAAAATGTGGAAAAAGGGAAGTGGTCTAAATACTTTCCGAATGCACTGTATTTGTATTTATTATGGATCCCCATTAGCTGCTGCCAAGGTAGCAGCTACTCTTCCTGGGGTCCAACACATTAAAGCACTTACATTACATATAAAACAAAAGATAAAACAGTAAATCATATAACATTATTACACCACTACATATCTACAATACAAAATGTATAATACCACCATACAACAGTATTACAATGTATGCGTGTGTCTGTACCTTTTGTGTGTCTCTTCACAGTCCCCGCTGTTCCATAAGGTGTATTTTTACCTGTTTTTAAAATCTGATTCTACTTCTTGCATCAGTTACCTGATGTGGAATATAGTTCCATGTAGTCATGGCTCTATGTAGTACTGTGCGCCTCCCATAGTCTGTTCTGGACTTGGGGATTGTGAAGAGACCTCTGGTGGAATGTCTTTTGGAGTATGCATGGGTGTCCGAGCTGTGTGCTAGTAGTTTAAACAGACAGCTTGGTACATTCAGCTTGTCAACACTTCTTACAAAAACAAGTAGTGATGACGTCAATCAGTTTACAATCCAGGGTTACTCCAAGCAGTTTAGTTACCTCAACTTGCTACATTTCCCCATTATTCATTACGAAATGTAGTTGAGGTTTAGGGTTTAGTGAATGATTTGTCCCAATTACAATGCTTTTAGTTTTGGAAATATTTAGGACTAACTTATTTCTTGCCACCCATTCTGAAACTAACTGCAGCTCTTTGTTAAATGTTGCAGTCATTTTCAGTTGCTGTAGTAGCTGACGTGTATAGTGTTGAGTCATCTGCATACATAGACACACTGGCGTTACTTAAAGCTAGTGGCATGTCGTTAGTAAAGATTGAAAAAAGTAAGGGGCCTAAACAGCTAACCTGGGGAATTCCTGATTCTACCTGGATTATGTTGGAGAGGCTTCCATTAAATGACACCCTCTGTGTTCTGTTAGACAAGTAACTCTTTATCCACAGTATAGCAGTGCGTGTAAAGCCATAACACATGCGTTTTTTCCAGCAGCAGACTATGATCGATAATGTCAAAAGCTGCACTGAAGTCTAACAAAACAGCTCCCACAATCTTTTCATCATCAATTTCTCTCAGCCAATCATCAGTCATTTTTGTAAGTGCCGTGCTTGTTGAATGTCCTTCCCTATAAGCGTGATGAAAGTCTGTCAATTTGTTTACTGTAAAATAGCATTGTATCTGGTCAAACACCATTTTTTCCAGAAGTTTACTAAGGGTTGGTAACAGGCTGATTGGTCGGCTATTTGAACCAGTAAAGGAGGCTTTACTATTCTTGGGTAGCAGAATGACTTTTGCTTCCCTCCAGGCCTGAGGGCACACACTTTGTAGTAGGCTTAAATTGAAGATATGGCAAATAGGAGTGGCAATATCGTCCGCTATTATCCTCAGTAATTTTCCATCCAGATTGTCAGACCCCGGTGGCTTGTCATTGTTGATAGACAACAATAATTGTTTCACCTCTTCCACACTCATTTTACGGAGTACAATGCTTATCTTTCATAATTTGGTCAGATATACTTGTAGTGTCAGCGTTTGTTGCTGCCATGTCATGCCTTAGTTTGCTTATCTTGCCAATGAAAAAGTCATTAAAGTAGTTCAAATCAAATCAAATCAAATTTTATTGGTCACATGCGCCGAATACAACAGGTGCAGACATTGCAGTGAAATGCTTACTTACAGCCCTTAACCAACAGTGCATTTATTTTAAACAAAAAAAGTAAGAATAAAACAACAACAACAAAAAAGTGTTGAGAAAAAAAGAGCAGAAGTAAAATAAAGTGACAGTAGGGAGGCTATATATACAGTAAAATAAAGTGACAGTAGGGAGGCTATATATACAGGGGGGTACCGTTGCAGAGTCAATGTGCGGGGGCACCGGCTAGTTGAGGTAATATGTACATGTGGGTAGAGTTAAAGTGACTATGCATAAATACTTAACAGAGTAGCAGCAGCGTAAAAAGGATGGGGTGGGGGGGCAGTGCAAATAGTCCGGGTAGCCATTATTAGCTGTTCAGGAGTCTTATGGCTTGGGGGTAGAAGCTGTTGAGAAGTCTTTTGGACCTAGACTTGGCACTCCGGTACCGCTTGCCGTGCGGTAGCAGAGAGAACAGTCTATGACTAGGGTGGCTGGAGTCTTTGACAATTTTGAGGGCCTTCCTCTGACACCGCCTGGTATAGAGGTCCTGGATGGCAGGGAGCTTTGCCCCAGTGATGTACTGGGCCGTACGCACTACCCTCTGTAGTGCCTTGCGGTCAGAGGCCAAGCAGTTGCCATACCAGGCGGTGATGCAACCAGTCAGGATGCTCTCGATGGTGCAGCTGTAGATTTTTTTGAGGATCTGAGGACCCATGCCATATCTTTTTAGTCTCCTGAGGGGAAATAGGCTTTGTCGTGCCCTCTTCACGACTGTCTTGGTGTGTTTGGACCATGATAGTTCGTTGGTGATGTGGACACCAAGGAACTTGAAGCTCTCAACCTGTTCCACTACAGCCCCGTCAATGAGAATGGGGGCGTGCTCAGTCCTCTTTTTTTTCCTGTAGTCCACAATCATCTCCTTTGTCTTGGTCACGTTGAGGGAGAGGTTGTTGTCCTGGCACCACACGGCCAGATCTCTGACGACCTCCCTATAGGCTGTCTCATCGTTGTCGGTGATCAGGCCTACCACTGTTGTGTCGTCGGCAAACTTAATGATGGTGTTGGAGTCGTGCCTGGCCATGCAGTCATGGGTGAACAGAGAGTACAGGAGGGGACTGAGCACGCACCCCTGAGGGGCCCCCGTGTTGAGGATCAGTGTGGCAGATGTGTTGTTACCTACCCTTACCACCTGGGGGCGGCCCGTCAGGAAGTCCAGGATCCAGTTGCAGAGGGAGGTGTTTAGTCCCAGGATCCTTAGCTTAGTGATGAGCTTAGAGGGCACTATGGTGTTGAATGCTGAGCTGTAGTCAATGAATAGCATTCTCACGTAGGTGTTCCTCTTGTCCAGGTGGGAAAGGGCAGTGTGGAGTGCGATAGAGATTGCATCATCTGTGGATCTGTTGGGGCGGTATGCAAATTGGAGTGGGTCTAGGGTTTCTGGGATTATGCTGTTGATGTGAGCCATGACCAGTCTTTCAAAGCACTTCATGGCTACAGACGTCAGTGCTACGGGTCGGTAGTCATTTAGGCAGGTTATCTTAGAGTTCTTGGGCACGGGGACTATGGTGGTCTGCTTGAAACATGTTGGTATTGCAGACTCAGTCAGGGACATGTTGAAAATGTCAGTGAAGACACTTGCCAGTTGGTCAGCACATGCTCGGAGTACACGTCCTGGTAATCCGTCTGGCCCTGCGGCCTTGTGAATGTTGACCTGCTTAAAAGTCTTACTCACATCGGCTACGGAGAGCGTGATCACATAGTCGTCCGGAACAGCTGGTGCTCTCCTGCATGCTTCAGTGTTGCTTGCCTCGAAGCGAGCATAGAAGTGGTTTAGCTCGTCTGGCAATATCAGTGGGTTTTGTGATGGAGCCGAGTTTGCTTTTTTCCCCCAGAATTTCATTTAAGGTGCTCCAAAGCTTTTTACTATAATTCTTTATATGATTTATTTTTGTTTCGTAGTATGGTTTCCTTTTATTTAGTTTAGTCACATGATTTCTTAGTTTGCAGTACGTTTGCCAATCGATTGGGCTGCCAGACTTATTTTCCATACCTTTTGCCTCATCCTTCTCAACCATACAATTTTTCAATTCCTCATCAATCCAAGGGGATTTAACAGTTTTTACAGTCATTTTCTTAATGGGTGCATGCTTATTAGTAACTGGAATAAGCAATTTCCTAAATGTGTCAAGTGCAGCGTCTGGTTGCTCCTCATTACACACCACAGACCAGCAAATCATCAACATAAGAATCACTACAAAACTTATTGTATGACCTCTTATACACTATATTAGGCCCAGCCTCCTAGATATGGCTACTATATTGTGATCACTACTGCTTTAAAGCAACTTTCTGCAGCATTAGTAAAGATCTGATCAATACATGTTGATGATTTCATTCCTGTGCTATTTGTAACTACCCTGGTAGGTTGACTGACATCCTGAACCAGGTTGCAGGCACTGGTTACAGTTTGAAGTTTTTTCTTGAGTAGGCAGCTTGATGAAAGCCAGTCAATATTTAAATCACCCAGAAAATATACTTCTCTGTTGATATCACGTACATTATCAAGCATTTCACACATATTATCCAGATACTGACTGTTAGCACTTGGTGGTCTATAGTAGCTTCCCACAAGAATGTGCTTTAGGTGAGGCAGATGAACCTGTAGCCATATTACTTCAACATTATTTAACATGAGATCCTCTCTAAGCTTTACAGGAATGTGGTTCTGAATATAGACTGCAACACCACAACCGTTGGCATTTCTGTCTTTTCGGTAGATGTTATAGCCATGTATTGCTACCACTGTATCATCAAAGGTATTATCTAAGTGAGTTTCAGAGATTTTCAGAATATGAATGTAATCTGTTACAAGAAAGTTATTGACTTCATTAACCTTGTTTCTTATGTAAATATGTTAATATGGACTATTTTTAGCACATTTCTGGGTTGCTTTATTGTTTTTAATGCTTTACTGAGAAGCTTATCAGAAGTAGACTGTTATTTATATTGGAGCTGATAGTGCACAGTGAGCTGCACACAGTGGAATTCCTACTAGGGCACACCGCCTCAGTGCTAACATTGTAACTGGTTCATAGGCACATGATTACTACATACAATAGCTGTAGGATCAACTGATGTATTCAGGGCAGTTAGTAAAATTAATTTACTTACATTGTGTCTGCCAATGCCCCTGGGATAATGTATCTTATGCAGCATTATGACAACTCATTGTCACAATGGTAGGGATTAACTGAGCTGGTCTTGGGTCATTGAGAAGTCATTAACGCAGCCTTGAAATGTGTTAAGAGTCCAGGAGCCAAGATGATTTGAATGGACTCCATCATTCCTGTAGAGTATCTTCTGTTTCCAGAAGCTGTCAAATGTATCTATAAAAGGGATTCCAACAGAGCTACAGTAATATTTTAGCCAGATGTGTAATGCAAGTAGCCTGCTGAATCTTTCACACCCGTGGCCCAACGATGGTACCGGACCTGAAATGATTGGACGCTTTTTGGAATCTTTCAATGCTAGAATCAGTTCTTTAAAATACATTTTCAGAAGTTCAGAGCTAGCCCTCCTGATGTCGTTTCACCCCAGATGGACTACGACAGCGTCAGCTCCCGGCATCGGTCGTAGAATGGTCGGAAGCAGCCTTGTAATGTCCTGTACTCGTGCTCCTTGGTAGCACAGGGTTTTTGCACTGGGAACCGAGATGTTTCTCACCATAGAGCTGCCGACGATGACAGCTGGTGAAACAGCCAGGGAGGTCCGGCCGTTCTTTCGCCTCGAGGGGTTTAAAAGACCTCTCGAGGACTGAAGGGCGGTGGGGCCCGATGGACCAGAGCCGGCTGTAGTATATGTGGTAGAGACCCCTGGGCTGGAGACAGGGTAGAGAATGAAGGACCATGAATCTCTGGAAGCAGGTGGGCGAAACTGTTGGTCAGCAGGATGGGATCCCCAAAGCCATTTTAGCCCCATTCACCAAAAACCGCTGCCTTGTGCTGGGCTTACGGTGTGTGACGTGCCTCCACTGAGATGCAGGATCTATAACTGTGGCATCCGCCAGCTCCTCATAAAGCGTCCTTGCTCCTTTATTCTCTGAGGGGGGGCCGGGATGGGAGGTCGGGGTAGGATGGGGAGGGCAGGTGAGATGGGAGGGGAGAGGTGACTGCAGGGCAGTTCTGGCCAGTCAGTCAGAGAGTGGCAACATGGTGGCGAGGCAGTGGCACGACGACCAGGCTGAGGAGTAAAAAAGGAAAAGGTCTTAGTGGGACCTATCCAGGATATGCTGCAATGTCTCAATTTGCTTACTCTGGACGTCCAGCTCAGATATATATTCCTCAATAAGCTGACAGTTTCCACATTGGAAATATGTCCAGACACTATTATCCCGGAACTGTGAAAAGTAGGTGCAGCTCCTACATGGGATGAAACGTTCACCGTAGTCTCTGAAGGTGGTTGCTGCCAATCTGGAAAAAAGTAAGTTTCCCCTTATGGCGGAAAGTGGTAGACACAATTTTGTTAAAATCCACGCAAATAAAATAGGTTGTTGAGGAATCAGCTAAAAGTCAATCAATCCACACAGTGTGATAGTCAGATTGAATCACACAGTTTGTAGGATCACCACAGTCATAGGCAGCAAGCCAGAACCCAACCACAGGCTAGAAACCAGCCAGCAGTAGGACCCACAATAAACACAACCAAGGCACAAAACTCGCCAGCATAAAAACAGCAAGGAGAGAGCGGTGACTTACTCAATGCGTTTGAATGCTGGGGCCCATCAGCAACGTAATGGAGGCCGTGTTCCCAGTACGATAGCCAAGAGAGAAGCACCTTGGAGGGGATGTAGTTTCCAGTACAGGTTGGTGGAAAGCCGGGAGGGTGGCAAGCGCTACACCGGGACACGAGAGTCGAAAAGAGTAAAGTTTGGCAGTAGTCCAAAAACATCCCAGGCACAATGTCAAATGGAAGGATGGAAGCAGCAGTAGGCAGGTGTCTGTATAGTGTATCTGTGCTTTTGGTTTGTGGGCGCTACTTTCAGAACTACTGGCTAAAAAGTATACAAAAGTACTGGATATTCCCTTGAACCTATCCTATATGAAAGGACACAAGTAGAGGGCAAGACTGCACAGCCTCCCCTTGAGAAACCAAATCGAATATGTCTAACAGGAGCTCAAACAGGTACATATAAGCACTTGGCCCCTCCCAGGACCATACAATTACCCAATTGGCAATTACAACCAATAAACTGCTTCTACAATGTAAAAGGCAATTTCCACATCCATTGTTAAAATCAGAATTTAATGATTATGAATTATATTTCATCACCATACATAAATGGAACAAACAATTTTCTCTCATTCAATGTACTGACTCCAAAGCGTGCACGCTTCTATTATGCACAACTAGAATGACAAAGACATAGGACACAGACACAAGGAACTCCAACATAACCCCGGAAATATGAACAAAGGAAACCATACATTGAATTAAATAAACAGAACTTCTACCTCATGAGTCTTGCGAACGTTCATGTGCACAATAAACATTGCGCCCACTCAGAGGTTAAGACATGGGGCTAAATTAAAATGTATCAAAACATGAAACAGAAATGTCTAAGGGTTGCAATAAACAGTATGGGGATGGAATGATGAAACGCTAACATTAGCAATTATTGTAGGATTAGATGGAATATAGATTTAGCACATATGTATTTAAAGGTGTGAAAGCAACATCAAACATTTCAACAACAGAACAAGCGCTCCCAACTGGCCACTGGCGGGAGTTTGGAGAGCGCAAGTACGTCTATGGTGCGTCTTCGCCACAGTAATAATTAATTTTAACAGCAAATTCCAAATGCAAGCTTCATAAGTAAATTATTAATTTCAAACAATTTTGACAAAAGACCAGTAGGCCTATGCAAGTAATTGTTACTTGATGCCCCATTGCTGGTGAGCTTGCAAAGTAGGCCTAAACAGTAGTGATGTTACGTTTGATAATGGAGCCCAGAGGCATGCGTCGAAATCGCAAAACAGCTAATGCCACGTTCACATACTAGTCGGAACTAGGAAACTCGGAAATGTGCGACTTGCTGATTCGTTGAACGCGGCACCTATATAACTAAAACCAGTTAGCAAGTCGGAAATGTCAGTTTCCTATTTCTGACTAGCTCTTGAACGTTGCATATCCTCAAAGCTGTATACTGATGCGTGTATCACTTGACGTCCGAAACTTCGATTGATCACGAGATATCCACAGGAAAGTATAATTACATCAGGTTTTCAAAGCGCTGGTAGTGCATTCAGATTTCTATCACCTGAAGCAAGCGCACAAGGTAAAAATACATGCACGAGATGCATGCATACTTGCCGAGCTTGTGTACGTGTTTACATGGTTCTGCGCATGCCTAAAGTGATATAAATCTGAATGCACTACCAGTGCTTTGAAAAGTTTATGTAATTATACTTTCCTGTGGATATATTGTCTCACATTCCTACCACCAAAAGGACCAACCGCATTGACAACCGTTAAAGTGCGTTAAAATATAATTGTATTCAAAATTATGTCTTGTAAAGGTTGTGATAGGAAACTTTCCTGATTCAAACGTTCATTTCTGCCCGACGTAGAATTCAATGCCATTCAACTTCGGGTTTCCAGGCAACCCAGTAGCCTGTGCTTTCTTGTAGTTTGTACATCCAGGTACTGAGCACCACACCATGACTAAAATGTACAGTTGTTGTCGACACTAAAATAAAATAGTTATTCGCAAGCTGATGTTCTATGAATGAGTGGCTGGTCCGGTGAGTTAGCTATCTGTTGACACCCATTCTCAACTGGATCCACCTCGACAGGGGCGGTACCACATCCTGAAGTCGCAATGAATTGTGGTTTGCTTACAACCAGGAGATGTAGATGGCCCGTTTCTACCGGTGAGATGCAGAAAGGCTCGTATTTGCGTATAGTGAGGAAATTCTTGATTTTTATGACACATGTTAATAACATATTAGTGGACATATACAGTGAAAGAGCAACGGTAAAAATGTCCCTTAACAGAACTTTGCCTACTGACTAATAATGAATTATATCAGAATAGAGAGACTGAAAACAATAATTGTTAAAATATGGAGAGTCAGTGTACAAAACATTAGGAACACCTTCCTAATATTGAGTTGCACCCCCTTTTGCCCTCAGAACAGCCTCAATTCATCAGGCCATGGACTCTACTAGTTGTCAAAAGCGTTCCACAGGGATGCTGGCCCATGTTGACTCCAATGCTTCCCACAGTTGTACCAAGTTGGCTGGATGTCCTTTGGGTGGTGGACTATTCTTGATGCACATGGGAAACTGTTTAGCATGAAACCTTGCAGCATTGCAGTTCTTGACACACTCAAACCGGTGTGCCTGGCACCTACTACCATACCCCGTTCAAAGGCACTTAAATATTTTGTTTTGCCCATTCACTCTCTGAATGGCACACATACACAATCCATGTCTCAAGACTTAAAAATCATTTGACGTGTCTCCTCCCCTTCATCTACACTGATTGAAGTGGATTTGACAGGTGACATCAATAGGGGATAATAGCTTTCACCTGGTCAGTCTGTCATGGAAAGTTCCTTATGTTTTGTACACATGTAAATGTCTCGATCTGAGTTGACTTTTTTTTTTTTTTTAACCAAATGTATGTTTTTTTCTTTTCTCTCTGCTGTGATATAATTCGAAAGATCTTCTTTAAACCATATTATAATCCCTCCTGAACCTCAGCCACATTTTACATGTGGATGTTTCACTTAAGGTACAGTAAACTCCCTATAATTTTTGGGAGAGGATGTTTTCTAAATCTCCTCGACTCGCTGTTTCTAGAGGTATAATAATGTCTGAACTATATACAGTATCTACAAAGTCTGTGTCTGGGCTTTTAATACCAAAGGTTGAAGAGCACAAACCCTGCATGTTATAGCAGCTTATACTTAAGGATGCTATGTTTCAAATGTTCCTTTAGGACATGTTCTCTCTCTCTCGCTCTCACTCTTCTCTCCTCTCCTCTTAGTGGATGGAAGCCACCCCATCTTGTCCAGCTCAGTGGTACTTACCACTGGCACTTTCCTGTCCGGCTCCCTCTTCATGGGCCAAACCACCTCTCCCGGGGGGAGGATGGGGGACGCCCCATCATGTGCCAGACTTTCATACACACTGAAAGAGACATTGGGGTTGAGGGTGGGTCGGCTGAGGACTGGCACACCCCCTCGGATAGTGAAGGAGTCCGTAGACCTGTCCTTGGCTCAGATCCAAGCCCCGGACAAACAGCCCACTCCCTTCAGTTTTCTCAACACGCACACCCGCTGCAAGGTAAAAACAACAAATGAGTACAAAGAAAAACTACAACTGCCAATATGCCAACATAAAACATTACACCCGGCAAATATTGTTTTTGGGTTATGATAAGGTAAAGAAGTAATACTAAGCGATTTCAGGTATTTCTAAATCTTATTCTTCAAAAACCACTGGTCAAGACATAATTATAGACAAAATGTTGCAAATGCACCTTAAATTCTCTAGAAACTGGCTGTGATGCTGATATGCTATTTGTCCATGCTATGCCCTGTAGCCAGAAGAGCAGCTCCCCTGCTATCTGACCCACACCACTCCTGGAGTGGAGACAGTGGTCAGGGAGAGTGTCCACCTCAACTGTCACATACAGCAGGACACCAAAGGTCCCAGGTACAGACACACGCAGACAGAGACACACACTCACCCACACACTGCACACACTACTTTAAACACTGCATTTTGTCTTTCCTCCTCTTAGATACTGTCCCTCCATCGAGTCGCGGGTGCTGCGGTTTCCGGGGCGACGGCACCAGGTGTGGCTGGAGCCGGAAGGTTTGACCTCTGACCTGTTGTACCCCCAGGGCCTGTCCATGACCATGCCCCCTGACCTGCAGCTCCGCCTCCTTAGGGAGATCCCCGCCTTGCACCGAGCTGAGATCCGCACTCCTGGTACGCAGCCCTATATACAGACACCCACTCTGGGTCCCAATAATCTGTCCTTTCTCCTGAAGTGTTCACTTCCAATCCAATGAGTGAGTGGGAGGAGTGCACACAGAAAAATGGTATGCAGAATCTCAGGTCAACCTATCCCCTACCCCTTGACATTTATGCACCTTCCTAGATCTGAAAGAATTGGATGGGCATAAACAATATAGTAATAGCTCCACCTAGCTAGCCTTCCTGTATGCTAAGTGGGATTTTTGCCATTTTACTTATACCCATCCAGTTCTTTCAAATCTATGAGGAGGAATCCAGAAGATAACTAACTGTTAAACTTTCAATCAGATTTAAGCGCACCTGTTCAGCTCTACTGTTGTAGTTGTTTTGTTAGATCAAGTTAGTCACAGTTATCATCAACTCAGTTGTCAGAGCACCTTACCGATCACTGCACCTGTACACAGCCCATCTGAAATTAGCCCGCCCAACTACCTCATCCCTATATTGTTATTTATTTTGCTCATTTGTACCCCAGTATCTCTATTTGCACATCATCTCTTGCACATCTATCATTCCAGTGTTAATACTAATTGTAATTATTTTGCACTATAGCCTATTTATTGCCTTACCTCCATAACTTGCTACATTTGCACACACTGTATATATATTTATTTCTGTTGTATTTTTGACTTTGTTTTGTTTTACCCCATATGTAACTCTGTGTTGTTGTTTTTATCGCACTGCTTTGCTTTATCTTGGCCAGGTCGCAGTTGTAAATGAGAACTTGTTCTCAACTGGTTTACCTGGTTAAATAAAGGTGAAATAATAAAAAATAAAAATAAAACTTAATTGACCTAAACATGTTTTAGTTCACTGCCTACAACTACATTAGCACACTCCGGGGTGTGTCATTGTGGGTGTTTTGGAGAGACTACACTATAGTTGGACTGCGCAGAACCACTGATCTACAAATCACCTTGCATCCCAATTAACTACTCATTATTATGTGAAATTACTAAAATGATTAGAGATTCTGCGTCTCACCTTGCTCAAACTGATTCCCTCAAACACTCCGATTATAACCTCCCTCCTTATCTCTCTGGATTCCAGGTTACGGGGTGCAGTACGACTTTGTGTGCCCCACCCAGCTGACCCCGTCTCTGCAGGTGAAGAGCACTCAGGGGCTCTTCCTCGCGGGTCAAATCAACGGCACCACGGGCTACGAGGAAGCGGCCGCACAAGTAGGGGTTAAATTTCTTCTAATCTGGGAACTGGGACACCAGGGTCGTGTCATTAGGGCACGTAAGGGAAAATGTTTTGAAACTTTTTGCAACTAAAATGTGCATTTCTTATTGGGCAAGTCCAGGTAGTCCCTCCCTGTTTTAGTATTTTCTTCCATTTGGTGCCTAGTAAACACAACCCAGGTGTGTGGACTCTCTGGCCAACAAATGGTGACATTATCAGAAAAGAAAACCAGCAGCACTCTAGGACTGAAGGCTGGTAGCAGAATAGCCATTTTACATGTTTAACATTTTGGTCATTTAGCAGACGCGCTTATCCAAAGCAACTAACGGTACAGTGAGTGCATACATTTTTTGTATATGATCACTGTGGGACTTAAACTCACAACCTTGGCAATGATACCGGCCGTTCGCCACACTCTTACCAACTGACCCACACAGGACCCTACAATATATGCTACAACAAACCCCTTTCTCTCCTCACTCTCCAGGGCTTGTGGGCGGGGGTGAATGCTGGTCGGACGGCCCTCTCCCTGCCGCCCATGGCGCTGTCTCGTACCCAGAGCTACATCGGGGTGCTGATCGATGACTTGGTGGGCCGAGGGGTGACAGAACCTTACCGCATGTTCACCAGCCGCGCCGAGTTCAGAACCTCCCTCAGGCCCGACAACGCAGACCTCCGTCTCACCCCCAGAGGTACCATAATGTGTGTGTGTCTGACATTACCCAACTACTGGGTGCACTTGTTTTGGCTTACATAGGGCCCCGGTTGGGTGGAGTTAGCATATTTTAGACCATTCTATTGGCCCCAAAGGGACATCTCCACCCACCCGGTCACTGGGGGAGCTAAAACAAACGCCAACTGGAGGAATTATAAGATATATTGCATCTCTGGCCATGTTCGACTGACCACAGACTGAGCAAACTTAAAGTCACCAACTGCAATGTAGTCAATCTCAAAATGCCTTGTCAGACTTTGTGGATTAATAATATTTTATGACCTTTAACCCGGTCTGCAAGGGTTTGAGGAGGTGGGCTGTGTGACTTTGCGGCGGTACGAGAAGGCGGTAAGGGTGAGGGACGGCCTCCAGGAAGCCCTGATGGCCCTGCAGTCCGTGGCTCTATCCTCCACCCGCTGGAGAGAGAAGCTGGGTAACATCAGCCTGAGTGAGAACAAGAGCGCCACCTTGAAGTGAGTAGGAAGTGGTTCAGTGGTGGGTGGTTCAGCATGCATTTACTGGGGTGCACTCAGCAGGAAACAATGTTGTTGGACGTTCAGATAGAAATATACAGTGCATTTGGAAAGTATTCAGACCCATTGACTTTTTCCACATTTAGTTACATTACAGCCTTATTCTTAAATGGATTACATGTATTTTTTTTTTGGAGGTTCCAAACTTCTTCCAATCAAGTTGTAGAAACATCAAGGATGATCAATGGAAACAGGATGCACCTGACCTCAATTTCGAGTCTCATAGAAAAGGGTCTGAATACTTATGTAATACATCTGCAAAAATTTCTAAAAACCTGTTTTCGCTTTGTCATTATGGGCTATTGTGTGTAGATTGAGGACATGTCTCTCTGCAACATTCAGCAAGGTTTGCCTACTGAATGTGGCCATGACTTTCTATTGTTCTATGTATGGGAACAGTATCTTTCAAACACATCCTTATCTGGTATTTGTGTACACACACAGGTTGTCAAAAGAGTATTGTCTGTTTCAGAATGTGGAGTCACTAACAACACTGCAACCTATGAGAAAGTGAATGCTTACTACATTTTCAAAATTCCTTTCTATTGTTTAATCAAGCAGAGGTGTATATAGTCTGCTCATCATTAACTTTTACTATACCATTTATCTTTCTCTCTCAGTGGTTTGGATCTGTTGCAATACAAAGATGTGTCCTTTGACATGTTGGCCTCTGCCTTCCCAGAGTGCCTTTCACCATATTTTGAGTACTCACAACGACTCAAGATTGAAGGTAACTGCTCTTTTTAAGTCTCAAGCAGTCTGCGTCTGAAATGGCAGTCTATTCCCTACATAGTGCACTGCTTTTGTGGCTCTGGTCAAAGGTAGTGCACAATATAGGGAATAGGGTGCCATTTCAGACACGCACTCAGTTTAGTCTGTTAAACTTTACTTTAAAACAGTACTGAACCCTCTGCCACGTGGCTTTCAGCTGTGTACAGACCCCACTGCGAGAAGCAGAGTCGAGAGATGGAGAGAATACGGAGGGAGGAAAGTCTGACTCTCCCCTCTGACATGGACTACCTCTCCTTACCAGTGTCCCTCTCTCAGGAGGTCAGAGAGATACTGGACCGAGTCAGGCCCAACACTGTGAGTCTCAGTAAAACTACAACATAAACCATCAGTAAAGTCATATCGTAAAAAAATATAATCACGACAACTGATGGAAACAGGAAGTTTCTGTAACAATTTTATAAATACCGACAGATAATGTGTTTGTTTGACATGCTGGGATATTTTTGTGTCGGTAAAATGAATTATGCTGGAAATGGTGGTGGAAACATATACAATTGTATTTGTCACATGCGCTGAATACAGCAGGTGTTGACCTTACCTTGAAATGCTTACTTACGAGCCCTTAACCAACAATGCAGAGTTAAAAAATTATAAAAATGTGCTAAATAAACTAAAGGAAAAATAGTAACACAATAAAATAACAATAACAAGGTTATATACACTGCTCAAAAAAATAAAGGGAACACTTAAACAACACATCCTAGATCTGAATGAATGAAATAATTTCTTTACATAGTTGAATGTGCTGACAACAAAATCACACAAAAATGATCACACAAAAGTGGTCCTCTGTAGCTCAGCTGGTAGAGCACGGCGCTTGTAACGCCAAGGTAGTGGGTTCGATCCCCGGGACCACCCATACACAAAAAAAAAATATGTATGCACGCATGACTGTAAGTCGCTTTGGATAAAAGCGTCTGCTAAATGGCATATTATTATTATTATATTATTATTATGTCCCAGATGTGCTCAATTGGATTCAGGTCTGGGGAACGGGCGGGCCAGTCCATAGCATCAATGCCTTCCTCTTGCAGGAACTGCTGACACACTCCAGCCATATGAGGTCTAGCATTGTCTTGCATTAGGAGGAACCCAGGGCCAACCGCACCAGCATATGGTCTCACAAGGGCTCTGAGGATCTCATCTCGGTACCTAATGGCAGTCAGGCTACCTCTGGCGAGCACATGGAGGGCTGTGCGGCCCTCCAAAGAAATGCCAACCCACACCATGACTGACCCACCGCCAAACCGGTCATGCTGGAGGATGTTGCAGGCAGCAGAACGTTCTCCACGGCGTCTCCAGACTCTGTCACGTCTGTCACATGTGCTCAGTGTGAACCTGCTTTCATCTGTGAAGAGCACAGGGCGCCAGTGGCGAATTTGTCAATCTTGGTGTTCTCTGGCAAATGCCAAACGTCCTGCACGGTGTTGGGCTGTAAGCACAACCCCCACCTGTGGACGTCGGGCCCTCATACCACCCTCATGGAGTCTGTTTCTGACCGTTTGAGCAGACACATGCACATTTGTGGCCTGCTGGAGGTCATTTTGCAGGGCTCTGGCAGTGCAGTCCTCCTGCTCCTCCTTGCACAAAGGCGGAGGTAGCGATCCTGCTGCTGGGTTGTTGCCCTCCTACGGCCTCCTCCACATCTCCTGATGTACTGGCCTGTCTCCTGGTAGCGCCTCCATGCTCTGGACACTACGCTGACAGACACAGCAAACCTTCTTGCCACAGCTCGCATTGATGTGCCATCCTGGATGAGCTGCACTACCTGAGCCACTTGTGTGGGTTGTAGACTCCGTCTCATGCTACCACTAGAGTGAAAGCACCGCCAGCATTCAAAAGTGACCAAAACATCAGCCAGGAAGCATAGGAACTGAGAAGTGGTCTGTGGTCACCACCTGCAGAACCACTTCTTTATTGGTGGTGTCTTGCTAATTGCCTATAATTTCCACCTGTTGTCTATTCCATTTGCACAACAGCATGTGAAATGTATTGTCAATCAGTGTTGCTTCCTAAGTGGACAGTTTGATTTCACAGAAGTGTGATTGACTTGGAGTTACATTGTGTTGTTTAAGTGTTCCCTTTATTGTGGGTTCGTTTCCCAGGGGGGGCCAGTATAAAATATATATATATATATGTATTCACTAACTGTAAGTCGCTCTGGATAAGAGCGTCTGCTAAATGACTAAAATGTAAATGTAAATGTAAATTTTTTTGAGCAGTGTACAAGGAGTACCGGTACCGAGTCAATGTGCAGGGGTACGGGTTAGTTGAGAAAATAAGAATAAAATAAGGGGGTCAATGCAAATAGTCTGGGTAGCCATTTGACTATAATTGTTTAGCAGTTTTATGGCTTCGGGGTAGAAGCTGTTAAGGAGCATTATGGACCCAGACTTGGCACTCCAGTACCACATGCTGTGCAGTAGCAGAGAGAACAGTCTATGACTTGGGTGGATGGAGTCTGACAATTTTTATGGCTTTCCTATCGAAGTAAACTTGGAGTCACACGATGATTTAGTGTGTGTGGTCCTCCCACTATGACTTGGGGAAACTATGCAGTTATTAGGCTACAGCTTAAATAAATTATGAACTTCACAGGGTGGTGAAAGTGCACTGTGATGAGCTTGGTGCTCCTTTCCAATAAATATCGAGGGTCTTATTCTGATGACATGATCGATGCTTGACTGCTGTTTGACAAATACAAATATTCTCGCACTTATCCATAATAATCTCATGTAGACTAGCCTATCTGCACAGCCTACCCGCACTGTATCTGCGAGCTGTTGGCTGGAGCGCACGTTCCAAGACCAGAGTAGGTACATTTGCTATTTAACGCAACAGTTTTTATGAAAACTATCACTAGTTGAAAATGTGATGGAAACGCATTCGGTACATGAAAACGTAAGCGAAAAATAATATGTTATGTGCACTACGTCATCACGCACTGATTTTTATCGGCAATAAGTCATTTTGGTGGAAACACACCACTGGTGGGAAAATTCGCAAATTTTCTTTATACGGATTTTAGAATATTTGCATGAAAATCTGTCGCCAATTGGATGGAAACCTAGCTGGAAACCTAGCTACAGCTAGTCATTTGTTTATGACAAAAAATATATAACTGACCTAGTGTGATGTAGGGCCGTGTCCGATCACTCGTACTTGCGTCCTAAATAGGTTGTTTAGGTATGCGAAAATAGAAAGTATGACCCATGTGTTTGACAACAGCTGATAATCAGATAAGGTGACTGACTGTACCAAAATGAACAAATGGTGGAAAACATAGCAATTGCGCATTTGATGACGCATTCTCAGTATGGGTGAGCCTAGTATGTTGATATTTGTATATTTATATATAATGACATGTTACACTACCACAATATAGTAAATAGATCTAACACCTTTCAGCAGAATGCCAGTGGTTATCCAAATCTTCACCTGCTAAATGAGGTATAAAAAGACATAAAAAACTGAACTTGAGCGTGCATAACTATTCACCCCCCCAAAGTCAATACTTTGTAGAGCCACCTTTTGCAGCAATTACAGCAGCAAGTCTCTTGGGGTATGTATCTATAAGCTTGGATGGTGTTCTCGGGGTGATGAGAGGTGTTGGGTTTGCGCCAGACATAGCGTTTTCCTTGATGGCCAAAAAGCTTACTTTTAGTCTCATCTGACCAGAGTACCTTCTTCCATATGTTTGGGGAGTCTCCCACATGCCTTTTGGCGAACACCAAACGTGTTTGCTTATTTTTTTCTTTAGCAATGGCTTTTTTCGGGCCACTCTTCCGTAAAGCCCAGCTCTGTGGAGTGTATGGCTTAAAGTGGTCCTATGGACAGATACTCCAATCTCCGCTGTGGAGCTTTGCAGCTCCTTCAGGGTTATCTTTGATCTCTTTGTTGCCTCTCTGATTAATGCCCTCCTTGCCTGGTCCGTGAGTTTTGGTGGGCGGCCCTCTCTTGGCAGGTTTGTTGTGGTGCCATATTCTTTCCATTTTTTAACAATGGATTTAAATGGTGCTCCGTGGGATGTTCAAAGTTTTGGATATTTTTTTATAACCCAACCCTGATCTGTACTTCTCCACAACTTTGTCCCTGACCTGTTTGGAGAGCTCCTGTTTGGTGCCGCTTGCTTAGTGGTGTTGCAGACTCTGGGGCCTTTCAGAACAGGTATATATATACTGAGATCATGTGACACTTAGATTGCACACAGGTGGACTTTATTTAACTAATTATGTGACTTCTGAAGGTAATTGGTTGCACCAGTTCTTACATATGCACGCACCAGTTTTCCATATATTTTTATTTTTATTTCACTTCACCAATTTGGACTATTTTGTGTATGTCCATTACATGAAATCCAAATAAAAATCCATTTAAATTACAGATTGTAATGCAACAAAATAGGAAAAGGGAGATTAATACTTTTGCAAGGCACTGTATAGCTTCAAAGGGGTGTTCCTTGATGAAGGCTAACAATGATTCTATAGAAATTCTAGCTATCGAAGCTATCTAGCAAACGTTGGGCTGCCCTGTGCTTAAATAGTCATGATAATCAATTATTTGTAAAATTATTTATGTTGAGCAAAAAGATGTTTTTGAGTTTGACTGAGTTTAGACTTTTGTCTTGTCTTTGTAAATTAGCTGGGCGCTGCTACCCGTCTACCAGGGATGACGCCCGCTGGGATCATCCACCTTCTCAACTATGTCCTCAGGACCGGGCAGAGGAACAGACACACAGAGCACAGAAACCGATCGAGCCAAAAAGAGGGGGGAAAGGGACAGCTGTGTGCAAGCAACATACAGATATCGCAGTGAAATAATGACTGTATAACAACTGTTAAAAAATAATGTACAAAAATAAACTATGGTAGTTTTGGAAATCATCACTGTTTAATTTGGAATGACTTGAGATTTCAAACCAAACAATTATGTGCACAATTTCACTCATTTAATTATCTATTCATCCTTGCCTTACTCTGAAGCTCTCACAAACAGTACCAAACAAAATCCAACATACAAACTATCACACAAGCTAAATTGATTATCGAGTGAACATTTCTAGTTCTGTAACAAACATTTTAGTGAAACCAACCCAACAGTAGTAGTGCAACCAACATTGTATCCCACGTGAGCTTTCTGAGGTCACTACTGTTGGTGGTGACAGTCTGTCCATCCAGCTCGCCTGTCCCTCTGGAGAAGAAGTCAAACGGAAACTTCCACTTGGGCTGTGGCATTCCCCTGGGGGGTTCTGGGTAGACAGTAGTGTCAACAAACATCACCTCTGTGGTCACAGCGAAAGGCGAGACGAGGGGACACTGAAGAGGAGAAAGACAGTGTGCAGGGGGAAGAAGGTGGTTGAGAGGGAAACAATGGGGGTTCCAGGTCATTTATTTTGCAGTGGCATATCTCAAAAGACTGCAGCTGTATCATATTAATGTGGTTCCAGAGAAGTTTAACACTTCTCCTGGCGTTGTGAGAGCTGCTCAGCACAACTACAGAAAATATCATAAGGTCATAAGCCCTTATGAGGTTTATGCATACGTTATAGGGATAGTTTACCGAAATTACACATTTCTTTCCTTGGTGAACTATCCCTTTAAAATGGCAAAGGAGGTTGGAGGACACCCACCAATTTAAACTAAATGAACAGAGACTAGAGTAGGGGTATTCAAATCTTACCCTATGAGGACCAGACTACTGCTGGTTTTCTGTTCTACCTGATAATTAATTGCACCCACCAAGTGTCCCCAGGTCTAAATAAGTCCCTGATTAGAGGGGAAGAATGGGGGGGTAAAAAGCAGTGGAACTGGATTCGAGGTCCAGAATTGAATTTGAGGGGACTAGAGGATATGGAGAGGTTGAAAACTGCTCACCGACTCCAAGAGGAGACATGCTTGACCCTTACCTTGACCCTCTGACAGTGGAAGAGGTATTTGGCCCCTAGGATGTACTTCTGGGGAAAGACCAGGAGACCTGTCTGAGCCCACAGCACCTGGACAGACAGGGAGTGGGGGAGGAGACACCCGGACTCACACGACGACTCCTGAGACAGAGGGAAGAGAGAAGACATTTATACATGTACATTGAATGTGTAGAAAAGCCCCCTGTTGAGTGACAATCTTCTGTGTATTGCGCAATCTCCGGTTGCACACGGCCTTGCACTCCCTCTCGTGGCTTCACAGACTTTAGTTAATCTGCGGCATTCCACCTGATGCAAGCCTGCATCTGATAGCAGCTCCATTTAGGGATGGCCCTTGCTATCCGGGATCATTGGAACTTCCCTACCCCACTGACATTTAAAATGGTTAGGACTGCCCGTTCCATGATCTCGCCATCACGGTTGACAACTCCGCTGTGTCCTCCTCCCAGAGTGCGAAGAGCCTAGGCGTGACCCTGGACAACACCCTGTCGTTCTCCGCCAACATCAAGGCGGTGACCCGCTCCTGCAGGTTCATGCTCTACAACATTCGGAGAGTGCGACCCTGCCTTACACAGGAAGCGGCGCAGGTCCTGGTCCAGGCACTTGTCATCTCCCGTCTGGACTACTGCAACTCGCTGTTGGCTGGGCTCCCTGCCTGTGCCATTAAACCCCTACAACTCATCCAGAATGCCGCAGCCCGTCTGGTGTTCAACCTTCCCAAGTTCTCTCACGTCACCCCCCTCCTCCGCACACTCCACTGGCTTCCAGTTGAAGCTCGCATCCGCTACAAGACCATGGTGCTTGCCTATGGAGCAGTGAGGGGAACGGCACCTCTGTACCTTCAGGCTCTGATCAGTCCCTACACCCAAACGAGGACATTGCGTTCATCCACCTCTGGCCTGCTGGCTCCCCTTCCTCTGCGGAAGCATAGCTCCCGCTCAGCCCAGTCAAAACTGTTCGCTGCTCTGGCACCCCAATGGTGGAACAAGCTCCCTCACGACGCCAGGACAGCGGAGTCACTCACCACCTTCCGGAGACATTTGAAACCCCACCTCTTTAAGGAATACCTGGGATAGGATAAAGTATTCCTTCTAACCCCCCCCCCCCCCCCCCCAAATTGTAAAGTGGTTATCCCACTGGCTATAGGGTGAACGCACCAATTTGTGAGTCGCTCTGGCTAAGAGCGTCTGCTAAATGACGTTAATGTGCCCTTGAGCAAGGCACTTAACCCTAATTGCTCCTGTAAGTCGCTCTGGTTAAGAGCGTCTGCTAAATGACTAAAATGTAAATGTAAAAATGTTAGGTAAGGGTTATGGTTAAGGTTAGGGACATCCCAAGGATCCCGGAGAGCACTAACCATTTAGGGATGGTTTGAAAAATGTACAGAATGGGGACCTGGAGGAAAATGGCGGGAGGGTCATGCTTTTTCAACTTCAGTCAGGGGGAGGGTTTAGTATTTTTTCAATCTAATCCAGGGGTCATGTAATTGATGAAATGTCAATATTTCAGAATAAGTTACTTATTCGGCTATATATCGATGTGTGCCCGATGCCGCCCCTCATCTCTGATTCTCTGCTGGGCGTAATATCAAGTGTGCGTATAGGCTATTTAGTGTGGTCTCAATCAAATGATCCATAGGCCATGCTCGGAGAAGCACAGTGCAAAGTTACACTACATTGCCAGAAGTATGTGGACACCTGCTCATCTAACATCTCATCCCTAGATCAGGGGCATTAATATGGAGTTGATCCCCCCTTTGCTGCTATAACAGCCTCCACTCTTCTGGGAAGGCTTTCCACTAGATGTTGGAACATTTCTGCGGGGACTTGCTTTCATTCAGCCACAAGAGCATTAGTGAGGTCTGGCACTGATGTTGGGCGGTTAGGCCTGGCTCGTAGTCGGCGTTCCAATTCATCCCAAAGGTGTTTGATGGGGTTGAGGTCAGGGCCCTGTGCAGGCCAGTCAAGTTCTTCCACACCGATCTCGAAAAACCATTTCTGTATGGACCTTGCTTGTGCACGGGAGCAGTGTCATGCTGAAACAGGAAAGGGCCTTCCCCAAACTGTTGCCACAAAGTTGGAAGCACAGAATCATCTAGAATGTCATTGTATGCTGTAGCATTAAGATTTCCCTAAACTGGAACTAAGGGGCCTAGCCCGAACTATGAAAAACAGCCCCAGACCATTATTCCTCCTCCACCAAACTTTACAGTTGGCACTATGCATTGGGGCAGGTAGCGTTCTCCTGGTATCCACCAAACCCAGATTTGTCCGTCGGACTGCCAGATGGTGAAGCGTGATTCATCACTCCAGAGAACGCGTTTCCACTGCTCCAGAGTCCAATGGCGGCGAGCTTTACACCACTCCAACCGACGCTTGGCATTGCGCATGGTGATCTTAGGCTTGTGTGCGGCTGCTCGGCCATGGAAACCCATTTCATGAAGCTCCTGACGAACAGTTCTTGTGCTGACGTTGCTTCCAGAGGCAGTTTGGATCTCGGTAGTGAGTGTTGCAATCGAGGATAGACGATTTTACGCGCTTCAGCACTCAGCGGTCCCGTTCTGTGAGCTTGTGTGGCCTACCACTTCGCGGCTGAGCTGTTGTTGCTCCTAGACGTTTCCACTTCACAATAACAGCAGTTACGGTTGACCTGGGCAGCTCTAGCAGGGTAGAAATTTGACGAACTGACTTGTTCGAAAGGTGGCATTTGAAAGTCACTGAGCTCCTCAGTACGGGCCATTCTACTGCCACCGTTTGTCTATGGAGATTGCATGGCTGTGTGCTCGATTTTATACACCTGTCAGCAACGGGTGTTGCTGAAATAGCCAAATACACTGAATTTAAGGAGTGTCCACATACTTTTGGTGTATTTCTAAGAAAATGCACGTCTTTCTCGAGTCTTTTGCGCTGCTGGGATGGTGTAAAAAAAACTAGGCTGCATTACACACTGCAATAGATATTCCAACCCTGATCCCCGGGTTGCTCTGCTCTTGTTGATCAAAACCTTTTTTTGTGCTTCCTAAACAATGGCTGTGCTGTGTAGGCCTACGATGGCAGTTCAGGAGGAGAGTCGAAGGCTTTTCCTCTTAACTTTTTTGATTAGGCGGTCATGTTCAGTTTGAGGAGAGAGCGAAAATGAGGTGGACCTGAAGTCAATTTTGATAGCTTGCTCCTGCTATAATTGATTTGAATATAAACAAAATGTTTCTTGCCCATGATGTATTTGTCAGAGTTGATGACCTCACAATAAGCCAGATAATTTACATTATGGTGCTGAAACTTGAAGCGGCAGCTGCGGCACAATCAATCGGAAATGGACAGCTAATGGTGCTGATAATAGGCAAATTCGAGTAGGCATAATTCATTTAAACAGTCTTCATTTTAATTTGACTTTACTAACAACTTTGTGTTGGATACTTTTTTGTCCTGTTTAAAAATAAGAGGTAGGCCTACCTGTTTGACAGATTAAATGAAGTTATAGGCTGCTATCCATAGATTTGTCTGCCAATTCCGCCACCCACCATGCACTTTTTAAATAGCCTACCTCTGTGTCAGTGAATGGCTGTTAAGACGTGACTCCGATGCATATGGGAATATCTTTGTTTAGTTTCTTTGACATTCAGAGGCTGAGCTATAACATTCTATAGCCGAGGAGACAAAAAATGTACTTTGCTTGGGAAGAAATCTAATTCTGTTACTATCAATTGATTAAGCAATTTACTTTCTGTACAATATAAGATGTTTAAACCCAGACAGCTTTTAGGGAAACACTGATGACCTTCTCTTGTTGGGTTAAGCCATGGAAGAAGAGTAGCCAGCAGTTAAACCTCAAATTTTTCTGCGTCGGTTGGCCTACTCTGTCTGGGGTGGAAAGGTAGGCCTAATTTTTGAAAGTACCATGCTCAGATTCATAATGACATCTCAGATTTAATTATTTGCAAACAGGGACAGTTTTGTTGCAAACAAGACACTGATAAGATGAACGCATAGGCCTATCTCTCTGTCCATTCTTAGCCTGTAATTTCAGTAATTTGTGTATTAAAAAAGATTCTGCAAAGGTCTCCAGTCATGTATAATGACGTAGAATTGCATGAAATGTTTATAAAAGGCAACTTTTTCTCTGACTCGCAAATACCATGATAGATTCATGCTTTTACTATAAAGGAGATCTTTCTACCCCTATTCTTGTCCACGGGGGTCTGCGAACCCACTACTTTCTGGCCCTGCGTGCGGCAGGTAGCTTAGTGGTTAAGAGCGTTGTGCCAGTAACCGAAAGGTCGCTGGTTCTAATCCCCGAGCCGACTAGGTGAAAAATCTGTCTGTGCCCTTGAGCAAGGCACTTAACCCTAATTGCTCCTGTAAGTCGCTCTGGATAAGAGCGTCTGCTAAATGACTAAAATGTAAATGTATCAAAATTCCTGCGTTGCCATGCAATGCTTCCAGGACGAAGAACAGTTTCTAAAACTGCACACCTAAGTCTCTGGTCTGTCCTAGGAGAGAGGGTTAACGGTAGGCATGTTCTCTGCTATCCACTTTGTGTTAATTATTATTTTGGGTATAGGGGAGGGTCACTTGTTTTTTTTCAAGCATTTAGGGAGGGTTTAATTAAAATATATTTTGCTGTAGGGAGGGACATCCATTTTCATTTTGGAGAGGTCCGATTTTCTCCAGGTAACCCTTATTATAAATAATGTACACTCCCTTATTGTTTTCCCTTTATATTATTGTGTTGTGTACACCAATGTGCGTAACTGCTAAAGTAAATTCATGACCTTGTATTGGTTGTTACTGTGATGACAATTAAGCACTATCTGTTATTTACCTTGTATAGAAGTTTCTGCTAATTAGCCTGCTACTTGCTAGGTCGTCATATGCTGGCTTAGCTTATTCCTATATTGAGACACTACCTGTATTTCGGCATTACTGCCTCCCGAGGTTCATAATTAATGTGAACATTTCAGTATTTCCTATACAGTTGTTCTGAATTCTATTTCTGTATGCAACTTCACCATATAGTTAGGTTATTATAGCCTTATTGTCCCCCACGATGAAATCGGGGAGGGGACTGTCGATCTGTCTCCATCCGTTCGTTCGTACGTTAGTCACACACGATATCTGACAGCACTGAGCCGATTTTGACTAAACTTAGGTCAATGAAGCGTCTTGCCATAGAGATCCAGCATTTACAAAATTACACTGATTGGCCTAAGGTGGGAGCTATAGTAATTAACAGAAATGTGTTAATCACATGCAATCTCAATTGTCATTCTCTGCCTTTATTTGTGTATATTTACAGTGCTTAAGCCATGATCAGCTTTAATATTGCAGATAGATTGTGGCTTCGGTCAATGTAATTATCTGCATAATTTCCAATCCCCCATATTTTTGCTGGGGAGTATTTCTGTCTGCAAAAAGCCCTTTTGTGGGGAAAAACTCATTCTGATTGGCTGGGCCTGGCTCCCCAGTAGGTGGGCCTGGCTGCTAAGTGTGTGGGCCTATGCCTTCCCAGGCCCACCCATGGCTGCACCCCTGCCCAGTCATGTGAAATACATAGATTAGGGCCTAATTGTGACCCGTTTCAGGAAACTAGGCGTATATCGCAAGTCACGACTTCACAGGAGAGCCATTTGAATTTTAAAATGTTTTATAATCAATGTGCTTTTTGGCAGAAATGCCTTCTGGAACATTTGAACTTTCATGCCTTAATAATAAACTTGTAGGCCATCTGTAAATACAAATAAAGTTGTTAAATTACAAGCCTAGTCAGTTTAGCCACAGAAATAGACGGGAACCTTCCCGCTAGCCATGATTGGCTGAGATAATGAGTGGGCTGGACATGCGTTTCAGATTGGTCTGCGGTGTAGCAGCTTGTGTCTATAAAATGAGCTGCTCGTTATGCGTAGATACTCCTTTCTACTGCAGTTTTTTCGAAAGATATAACGTTAGTCATGGAGAACTGCAAATATGTTGCTACTGCGCTCAATAACATTTCTGCCCCGAATTTATCAGGCGCTATCAACAAAGGTCAGTGGGAAAAAGTTGTGATGGACTACTTTCTGGAGGACGATCGTGCCATGCTGACTCACTCTGACTCTGAAAATGAATCAGACGATGAGGAAATCCCAGATTCAGGTAAAATCATTTTAATTGAAGAAGACATTGTAGTCTTCTGATGACAGTGATGGGGAAGAAACGGCGATCAACAGTGTTGTCACGGAAGAAGTTGACCGAGTTTTGAAATCAGTGGAATGTCTGGTAGAAGCAGAGTATGATAAGGAGATGAATAGAATTCTGCCGTTTGATTGGAAATGCATAGGGAGTTGAAAAGAGAACACAGAAGGCTGATGATTCTAATGGCATTGCACACACTCAGTGTGAACCAGAGTGACTTGACACAACGGGCCAAGCAAGCTGTACAAACAAAACGGAAACGACACAGGACGTCTTATTTAATGAAAGCGGTTGCAGTGAAGCGTTCATCCATGTATACGGGTAAGAGTCTAGCTACAGTTTCAGATATTATGCCATTTTCGCATTGCTAGTTATAGCCTAATGTTTCGCTAGCTAACATTTTACTTATTTGGTTAACTTTAGCTAGCTATGACAATCAGTTTGTATTGCTAGTACTCTATGGATTGGGATTGTGTTTAATTGTTTAGCTAGCTAGTTACATGTCTAAACAAAAGTCCAAGTTAAAGCTTACTGTTAGCTAGCTAGCTGACGACCCATCAAGTTAGCCAGGTGTGTCTGATGGTGATTACGGCTATCTATTGTATAATAATGCTAAAATATTTGTATCTGGAATTTGTCTTTCACCATCAGTAGAACACGCCTGACTCTCCTCCACCAGTCATACAAGGAGAATGGTCTGATGCCTCCCATCAAAAAGAGAGCTGGCCCAAGCAAGCACAGGTTACATCTGAAGCACGAGGACTTGCATCGAGTGGTTAACTTCATCAACAACTACGCAGAGGATAATGCAATAGTATTACCAGGACGCCACCCACCCAGGACACAAACACTTTGGTGGAAAGCTCAGATCAAGCAGTACTAGCACTTCAGGTGAATATCATTGCATTGTATGAGGTTATTCTTCTTATCTAAACTTGGGAGGTGAATTGATGTTGTGCAAGGTTGTAATGTCTTCTCATTTTTTGTTTTGTTATTTCCTGTTTTACAGCTTCGATGCTCTGGAGCCTGGTGTTGTTGCCAAGGAGCGTTCGGAGTCAGTCAGGACCAGGTTTCAGCTGCTGCGCAAAGCTGACATCCTTCCTCCCATAGATGGTCTGTACAAGCACCACCCGGACTGGACACAGCTAGACAAACTTATCTTTTTGAGAAGATCAGGGAGTTTTGCGACGTAGAGGCTATGGACATCACATGCCCTGCGCCAAAGAAAAAGGGCAGGACAGAAACAGGCTCTCCGAATATAGATTCCCTTGTTCATGCGTGGTTCGGACAGACCAGTCATCAGCACTATCTTCAGTACCTCTATTCAAATGACTCTCTTCTAACACACACACGTCTGGACACTTTCTGTTTACCTTGAATTTTTCCTTATTGTAGGCTACTACTTTTACCACTTTTAGTCTTAATCTTTACTACACGACTCACTGTTTAGCACATGACCTCACATGTGAATCCTTAAAGAGATGGGTGGGGATGGCTTAAGAGGGTGTGAACAATGCTGAATGGGTGTAGACAAAGGAGAGCTCTCCAGTAGGTACCAAAACATTCAAAAGGCCATTTTCTCAAAAGTGAGTTTACAAGTTTATCAACATTCAAAGCAGAATTACTTTCCCATTGTTCCTCAAAAATGCAGTGTATGATATACAGTGGGGAAAAAAGGTATTTAGTCAGCCACCAATTGTGCAAGTTCTCCCACTTAAAAAGATGAGAGGCCTGTAATTTTCATCATAGGTACACGTCAACTATGACAGACAAAATGAGAAGGAAAAAAATCCAGAAAATCACATTGTAGGATTTTTAATGAATTTATTTGCAAATTATGGTGGAAAATAAGTATTTGGTCAATAACAAAAGTTTCTCAATACTTTGTTATATACCTTTTGTTGGCAATGACACTGGTCAAACGTTTTCTGTAAGTCTACACAAGGTTTTCACACACTGTTGCTGGTATTTTGGCCCATTCCTCCATGCAGATCTCCTCTAGAGCAGTGATGTTTTGGGGCTGTCGCTGGGCAACACGGACTTTCAACTCCCTCCAAAGATTTTCTATGGGGTTGAGATCTGGAGACTGGCTAGGCCACTCCCGGACCTTGAAATGCTTCTTACGAAGCCACTCCTTCGTTGCCCGGGCGGTGTGTTTGGGATCATTGTCATGCTGAAAGACCCAGCCACGTTTCATCTTCAATGCCCTTGCTGATGGAAGGAGGTTTTCACTCAAAATCTCACGATACATGGCCCCATTCATTCTTTCCTTTACACGGATCAGTCGTCCTGGTCCCTTTGCAGAAAAACAGCCCCAAAGCATGATGTTTCCACCCCCATGCTTCACAGTAGGTATGGTGTTCTTTGGATGCAACTCAGCATTCTTTGTCCTCCAAACATGACAAGTTGAGTTTTTACCAAAAAGTTCTATTTTGGTTTCATCTGACCATATGACATTCTCCCAATCCTCTTCTGGATCATCCAAATGCACTCTAGCAAACTTCAGACGGGCCTGGACATGTACTGGCTTAAGCAGGGGGACACGTCTGGCACTGCAGGATTTGAGTCCCTGACGGCGTAGTGTGTTACTGATGGTAGGCTTTGTTACTTTGGTCCCAGCTCTCTGCAGGTCATTCACTAGGTCCCCCCGTGTGGTTCTGGGATTTTTGCTCACCGTTCTTGTGATCATTTTGACCCCACAGGGTGAGATCTTGCGTGGAGCCCCAGATCGAGGGAGATTATCAGTGGTCTTGTATGTCTTCCATTTCCTAATAATTGCTCCCACAGTTGATTTCTTCAAACCAAGCTGCTTACCTATTGCAGATTCAGTCTTCCCAGCCTGGTGCAGGTCTACAATTTTGTTTCTGGTGTCCTTTGAAAAAATTCTCAATTTGTCTGTCATAGTTGACATGTACCTATGATGAAAATTACAGGCCTCATCTTTTTAAGTGGGAGAACTTGCACAATTGGTGGCTGACTAAATACTTTTTTCCCCACTGTACCATTTTGTAGCTCTGTGTCTACTTTTATCCATTGTAAAAAACACCATTTCAAATTTTGCTACATAAGATTTGAGCCGGTCGGTCACAATTATTTTCTTTCAATTGACACATTTCCTTAAACTGTGACTCAGTAAAATCTTTGAAATTGTTGCATGTTGCGTTTTATATTTTTGTTCAGTACATATTCCTTCTTTATTATTTTCCCCTAACCCTACCATCCCTCCCCTAATTGGAGTAAACTAATGGACAACAATACTTAGGATTCTACTTCCAGCTTATACATACTATATACATTTTATGGACACAGTGTATATTTTACATGTTATCTTGTTTTTTTTTGTTTTTTAGTCCCACCCTTCAGCTCCTCTCAACCCCTCCCATCTATCTCTGAACACTATCCAGTTTTGATTTCTATTTAACATATATTTTTCAACTGTGCTGTTTCACAAAAGTTCTGAATCTTTCTATTCTCATAGTTTCTACAGATTGTAAATTAAATAAACATTTTTGCTAAGAGAATTATATTATTGATCAATTGACAATTACTTTTCAGATCACTCAGCAGTGCTATTTTCAGAGTTAACTCCAGGTAAATGTTGCAATTCTTCAGCCATTGCTGAACCTGCAACCAAAATCAAGCTACATCTAATGACTCTCTTCGCAGCAAAATCTGCAGAGCTGTGAAGGTTCTATCCCCCATATACAGTGCCTTCGGAAAGTATTCAGACCCCTTGACTTTTTCCACATTTTGTTAGGTTACAGCCTTATTCTAAAATTGATTAATTAACCCCCCTCAATCTACACACTTTACATTTACGTCATTTAGCAGACGCTCTTATCCAGAGCGACTTACAAATTGGTGCATTCACCTTATAGCCAAGTGGGATAACCACTTTACAATATGTTTTTTTTTTTTTTTTTTTTTTTTTTGGGGGGGGGGGGGGGATGGTTAGAAGGATTACTTTATCCTATCCCAGGTATTCCTTAAAGAGGTGGGGTTTCAAGTGTCTCCGGAAGTTGGTGAGTGACTCCGCTGTCCTGGCGTCGTGAGGGAGCTTGTTCCACCATTGGGGTGCCAGAGCAGCGAACAGTTTTGACTGGGCTGAGTGGGAACTGTGCTTCCGCAGAGGTAGGGGGGCCAGCAGGCCAGAGGCGGATGAACGCAATGCCCTCGTTTGGGTGTAGGGACTGATCAGAGCCTGAAGGTACGGAGGTGCCGTTCCCCTCCCAGCTCCGTAGGCAAGCACCATGGTCTTGTAGCAGATGCAAGCTTCAACTGGAAGCCAGTGGAGTGTGCGGAGGAGCGGGGTGACGTGAGAGAACTTGGGAAGGTTGAACACCAGGCGGGCTGCGGCATTCTGGATGAGTTGTAGGGGTTTAATGGCACAGGCATGGAGCCCATCCAACAGCGAGTTAAAGTAATCCAGACGGGAGATGACAAGTGCCTGGATTAGGACCTGTGCCGCTTCCTGTGTAAGGCAGGGTCGTACTCTCCAAATGTTGTAGAGCATGAACCTACAGGATCGGGTCACCGCCTTGATGTTAGCGGAGAACGACAGGGTGTTGTCCAGGGTCACGCCAAGGCTCTTCGCACTCTGGGAGGAGGACACAACAGAGTTGTCAACCGTGATGGCGAGATCATGGAACGGGCAGTCCTTCCCCGGGAGGAAGATGACCAAACAAAAACAGTTTTGAAAGAAAACATAAGTATTCAGACCCTTTACGCAGTACTTTCTTGAAGTATCTTTGGCAGCGATTACAGCCTCGAGTCTTCTTGGGTATGACGCTACAAGCTTGGCACACCTGTATTTGGGGAGTTTCAGCCACTCTTCTCTGCAGATCCTCTCAAGCCCTGTCAGGTTGGATGGGGAACGTCGCTGCACAGCTATTTTCAGCTCTCTCCAGAGATGTTCGATTGGGTTCAAGTCCGGGCTCTGGCTGGGCCACTCAAGGACATTCAGAGAGTTGTCCCGAAGCCACTCCTGCGTTGTCTTGGCTTAGGGTTGTTGTCCTGTTGGAAGGTGAATCTTCACCCCAGTCAGAGGTCCTGAGCGCTCTGGAGCAGGTTTTGATCAAGGATCTCTCTGTACTTTGCTCCGTTCATCTTTCCCTCGATCCTGACCAGTCTCCCAGTCCCTGCTGCTGAAAAACATCCCCACAGCATGATGCTGCCAACACCATGCTTAACCGTAGGGATGGTGCCAGGTTTACTCCAGACGTGACGCTTGGCATTCAGGCCAAATAGTTAAATATTGGTTTAATTTTGTCATTTAGCAGACTCTCTTATCCAGAGCGACTTACAGGAGCAATTAGGGTTAAGTGCCTTGCTCAAGGGCACATCGATAGATTGTTCACCTAGTCGGCTCGGGGATTAGAACCAGCGACCTTTTGGTTACTGGCACAACGCTCTTACCCACTAAGCTACCTGCCGCCCCGGCCCCAGAGAATCTTGTTTTTCATAGTCAGAGTCCGTTCGGTGCCTTTTGGCAAACTTCAAGCGGGCTGTCATGTACCTTTTACTGAGGACTGGCTTCCGTCTGGCCACTCTACCATAAAGGCCTGATTGTGGAGTGCTGCAGAGATGGTTGTCCTTCTGGAAGGTTCTCCCATCTCCGCAGAGGAACTCTGGAGCTCTGTCAGAGTAACCATCGGGTTCTTGGTCACCTCCCTGACCAAGGCCCTTCCCTCCAGATTGCTCAGTTTGGCCTGGCGGCCAGCTCTAGGAAGAGTCTTGGTGGTTCCAAACTTTTTCCATTTAAGAATGATGGAGGCCACTTTGTTCTTGGGGACCTTCAATGCTGCAGAAATGTTTTGGTACCCTTCCCTAGATCTGTGTCTCGACACAATCCTGTCTCGGAGCTCTACGGACAATTCCTTCAACCTCATGGCTTGGTTTTTGCTCTGACATGCACTGTCAACTGTGGGACCTTACATAGACAGGTGTTTGCCTTTCCAAATCATGTCCAATAAATTGAATTTACCACAGGTGGACTCCAATCAAGTTGTAGAAACATCTCAAGGATGATCAATGGAAACAGGATGCACCTGAGCTCAATTTCGAGTCTCATAGCAAAGGTTCTGAATAATTATTGGAAATAAGGTATTTAATGTAATTTAATTATTTTTGCAAATATTTTTAAAAACCTATTTTCGCTTTGTCATTATGGGGTATTGTGTGTGTGTGTAGATTGATTTTTATTTATTTAATCAATTTTAGAATAAGGCTGTAACGTAACAAAATGTGGAAAAAGTGAAGGGGTGTGAATACTTTCCATAGTCATACGCCAGTCACGCATCTTGTCACGATCGTCATAAGTAACGGACCAAGGCGCAGCGTGATATGCGTACATCTTTTAATGAGTACTTTACAAATATAACAAAACGATACGTGAAGTCCTAAGATTAACAAAACACAAACCTCTCCGGAACAAGATCCCACAAATGACAAGTGCACAACAGGCTGCCTAAGTATGGTTCCCAATCAGAGACAACAAGCCACAGCTGCCTCTGATTGGGAACCACCCCGGCCAACATAGAACCACATGAACTAGAACATAGAACAAACAACAGACACTACACACCCTGGCTCAACTTTTAAGAGTCCCCGGAGCCAGGGCGTGACACATCTAGTATTCCACAGAATATTACAGTAAATAAAAACTCAATTACCTGAAGTAACTTTTTCTAACACACTGATGACATTGAGGAATATCAACACACCGATAGACTTAAAAAGGGACAGTTCAGCCCAACACAAGTTTGTTTTCAGACTTCAAAAGTAGTCTAGCTATCTCAACAGAATATCATTTTTTAGGTCTGAAAACATCAAGCAAACGTTGATTTTGGAAGTAACTGTGCCTTTAAGACAAGAGCATGATTGCCTACTCATGTCATCTCTCACTCTGTGCCGTTGGCGTGTGCTAACTGTAATATTGAAATGAGTAAATTAAGAGTCTGGCTGAGGTAAAGCATTAAAGTGATAGTTTACTATCCTTTTAACAGACTCACCTGTGGTGTCACAGAGCATGCCTGTGTGATGACTCTTGCCCAGTCTGGTTGTGACCCCACGGTCATGGCAACCAGGTTGGGTGTGGCAACCCCCCGGAGGACCCTATAGAGCTGGGAGCGCAGCGTAGAGCAGTTACCCGAGGGGGAACTGAGTATTGACAAAGAATGAGAGAGACAGAAAATAAGGAACTAAATGCTGAAAAGAGGTTCAGGGACTTTCTTTAAAGGGATAGTTCTCTGAAAAGTTAACTTTCTGTACCTCGAAAGAAGCTCATACTTGAGTACTGTAAATTAATTGCTGTGACTACTCAACTACAGTGCTTTGCAAAAGTATTCATCCCTCTTGGCGTTTTTTCCTATTTTGTTGCATTACAACCTGTAATTTAAATTGATTTTTATACACAAAATAGTCCAAATTGGTGAAGTGAAATGAAAAAAATTACTTGTTTCAAAAAATAAATAACGGAAAAGTGGTGCGTGCATATGTATTCACCCCCTTTGCTATGAAGCCCCTAAATAAGATCTGGTGCAACCAATTACCTTCAGAAGTCACATAATTAGTTAGATTGCACACAGGTGGACTTTATTTAAGTGTCACATGATCTCAGTATATATACACCTGTTCTGAAAGGCCCCAGAGTCTGCAACACCACTAAGCAAGGGGCACCACCAAGCAAGCGGCACCATGAAGATCAAGGAGCTCTCCAAACAGGTCAGGGACAGAGTTGTGGAGAAGTACAGATCAGGGTTGGGCTATAAAAAATATCAGAAACTTTGAACATCCCACGGAGCACCATTAAATCCATTATTAATTATTATTGCTCTTATCCTTCTAGACCTGTCTGCTGCCTTTGATACTGTGAACCATCAGATCCTCCTCTCCACCCTCTCCGAGCTGGGCATCTCCGGCGCGGCTCACTCTTGGATTGCGTCCTACCTGACCGGTCGCTCCTACCAAGTGGCGTGGCGAGAAGCTGTCTCCGCACCACGTGCTCTCACCACTGGTGTCCCCCAGGGCTCAGTTCTAGGCCCTCTCCTATTCTCGCTATACACCAAGTCACTTGGCTCTGTCATATCCTCACATGGCCTCTCCTATCATTGCTACGCTGACAATACACAACTAATCTTCTCCTTTCCCCCTTCTGATAACCAGGTGGCGAATCGCATCTCTGCATGTCTGGCAGACATATCAGTATGGATGACGGATCACCACCTCAAGCTGAACCTTGGCAAGACGGAGCTGCTCTTCCTCCCGGGGAAGGACTGCCCGTTCCATGATCTCGCCATCACGGTTGACAACTCCGTTGTGTCCTCCTCCCAGAGTGCGAAGAGCCTTGGCGTGACCCTGGACAACACCCTGTCGTTCTCTGCTAACATCAAGGCGGTGACCCGATCCTGTAGGTTCATGCTCTACAACATTCGGAGAGTACGACCCTGCCTTACACAGGAAGCGGCACAGGTCCTAATCCAGGCACTTGTCATCTCCCGTCTGGATTACTGCAACTCGCTGTTGGCTGGGCTCCCTGCCTGTGCCATTAAACCCCTACAACTCATCCAGAATGCCGCAGCCCGCCTGGTGTTCAACCTTCCCAAGTTCTCTCACGTCACCCCGCTCCTCCGCACACTCCACTGGCTTCCAGTTGAAGCTCGCATCTGTTACAAGACCATGGTGCTTCCCTATGGAGCTGTGAGGGGAACGGCACCTCCGTACCTTCAGGCTCTGATCAGTCCCTACACCCAAACGAGGGCATTGTGTTCATCCACCTCTGGCCTGCTGGCTCCCCTTCCTCTGCGGAAGCATAGTTCCCGCTCAGCCCAGTCAAAACTGTTCGCTGCTCTGGCACCCCAATGGTGGAACAAGCTCCCTCACGACGCCAGGACAGCGGAGTCACTCACCACCTTCCGGAGACATTTGAAACCCCACCTCTTTAAGGAATACCTGGGATAGGATAAAGTAATCCTTCTACCCCCCCTTACCCCAACCCACCCCCCCTAAAAAATAAAAAAATAAAAAATAATATTGTAAAGTGGTTGTACTACTGGCCATAAGGTGAATGCACCAATTTGTAAGTCGCTCTGGATAAGAGCGTCTGCTAAATGACGTAAATGTAATTTAAAAATTGAAAGAATATGGCACCACAACAAACCTGCCAAGAGCGGGCCGCCCACCAAAACTCACGGACCAGGCAAGGTAGGCATTAATCAGAGAGGCAACAAACAGAGACCAACGATAACCCTGAAGGAGCTGCAAAGCTCCACAGCGGAGATTGGAGTATCTGTCCATAGGACCACTTTAAGCCGTACACTCCACAGAGCTGGGCTTTACGGAAGAGTGGCCAAAAAAAGCCATTGCTTAAAGAAAAAAATAAGAAACACGTTTGGTGTTCGCCAAAAGGCATGTGGGAGACTCCCCAAACATATGGAAGAAGGTACTCTGGTCAGATGAGACTAAAATTGAGCTTTTTGGCCATCAAGGAAAATGCTACGTCTGGCGCAAACCCAACACCTCTCATCAACCCGAGAACACCATCCCCAAAGTGAAGCATGGTGTTGGCAGCATCATGCTGTGGGGATGTTTTTCATCGGCAGGGACTGGGAAACTGGTCAGAATTGAAGGAATGATGGATGGCGCTAAATACAGGGACATTCTTGAGGGAAACCTGTTTCAGACTTCGAGAGATTTGAGACTGGGACGGAGGTTCACCTTCCAGCAGGACAATGACCCTAAGCATACTTCTAAAGCAACACTTAAGTGGTTTAAGGGGAAACATTTAAATGTCTTGGAATGGCCTAGTCAAAGCGCAGACCTCAATCCAATTGAGAATCTGTGGTATGACTTAAAGATTGCTGTACACCAGCGGAACCCATCCAACTTGAAGGAGCTGGAGCAGTTTTGCCTTGAAGAATGGGCAAAAATCCCAGTGGCTAGATGTGCCAAGCTTATAGATACATACCCCAAGAGACTTGCAGCTGTAATTGCTGAAAAAAGGTGGCTCTACAAAGTATTGACTTTGGGGTGGGGAATAGTTATGCACGCTCAAGTTCTCTGTTATTTTGTCTTATTTCTTGTTTGTTTCACAAAAGTATATATTTGCATCTTCAAAGTGGTAGGCATGTTGTGTAAATCAAATGATACAAACCCCCCAAAAAATCAATTTTAATTCCAGGTTGTAAGGCAACAAAATAGGAAAAATGCCAAGGGGGGTGAATACTTTCGAAAAGCAAGACGATTAACAAATAAGTATGTCTCATTGCCACATCATCAACAAACGTGATTGTAACGGATGTACAGTCAGGTCCAAAATTATTGGCACCCTTGATAAAGATGAGCAAAAAAGACTTTATAAAATTAATAATACTAATACTGAGCTATACACAGTGTACAAAACATTAGGAATACCTTCATACTGAGTTGCACCCCCTTTTGCCCTCAGAACAGCCTCAATTCGTCGGGTATAGAAAGCGTTACACAGGGATGCTAGCCCATGTTTACTCCAATGCTTCCAAAAGTTGTGTCAAGTTGGCTGGATGACCTGGGTGGTGGACCATTCTTGATACACATGGAAAAATGTTGAGCATGAAAAACCCAGCAGCGTTGCAGTTCTTGACACACTCAAACCAGTGTGCCTGGCACCTACGACCATACCCTGTTCAAAGGCACTTCAATCTTTTGTCTTGCCCATTCACCCTCTGAATGGCACACATACACAATCCATGTCTCAATTGTCTCAAGGCTTAAAAATCCTTCTTTAACCAGTCTCCTCCCCTTCATCTACACTGATTGAAGATGATATCAATAAGGGATCATAGCTTTCATGTCATGGAACGAGGTGTTTGTAATGTTTTGTACAATCAGTGTATTGTATGCTAAAAAAAGTAAATAATACAAGGGCCTGGAAAGATTCTGTAAGGAGGAACGGTCTAAGATCCCTCCCATGTGTTCTCCAATCTCATAAAACATTTTAGAAAAGGCTCAGTGCCTACATCCTCGCAAGGTGAGGTATTGAAAACGGGTGGCAATAAGTTTTACCCATATCTTTGAGATAAAAACATTACTTGTTAATCATATAATCTTTCTCTGAGCAATTGTATTAGTATAAAATAATAGAACTTTCCTGAATTTTTGAGCATACAATATAGCTCAATATTTGTATTATGGTTTTTTTATACAGTCTTTTTTGCTCATCTTTATCTAGGGCACCAATAATTTCGGACCCGACTGTATATAAAACTACAAACGGAAAAGCCAGGTGGACAGGACACTGTCACTAAGGGATGAGCATGATGGATAGGTAGTGTAGTCTCACCTGAAGGTACAGCCTGTGATGGTGTTGTGAGTGAAAAGGATGGGCATGCGGGTGCTGGGGTTAATAGAGCACTCTCCCCCCAGTGACACACCCAGAACAGTTAGCTGAATCTGAGTCAAAGAACAGGAACTCACTCAGTATATTGGCACTACGCCTCACCCCATTTAAACCAATGCAGTGCAGTATAAGAATGGAAAAATAAATATAGCTGCAAGCAGCAATGAAACGTGGTGCTGGCTATGAGCAGGCTTAAAGAGACAGTTGCATGGAAGCATTATACATCCTCCCTCGTGTACATGTAACAATTCAAAACATGATATATGCAAGTTTCAAGTTGATGAATTGAAAAGAAGTGAAATTAGGATTTAAGCCTAATTGAGGACAAAAAAAAATGGAAAATAGAAAGTAGTTATTTTCCTAAATGCTTCATACGGGGCTTATTTCTTTATTTTGAAAGTTACATATCTTGGAAACGTGAGTGCTGCCAAGAAAAACATTTTGGGACTATGTCAACAATGAAACAAATATCAAAAGATAGTTTGTGTGGAATTGTCCTTTAACTCTTCTCAAACCTACTAGAGACAGACATGATTGACATACATTCTGAGTTTTGTGTCAATCTGATGTACGGTTCATGAGATGATTTTTGAAGATGTTATAAAAAATCCAAGATGGTTGAAAATCCAAGATTGCGGCAGTCAGGTCCATGAGGCAGAATTGTTCCTTAAATTGAGAAACACTCATACCAAGTGTTGTGCTTGCATGTGTAACTGGGGGGTGGAGCTGACCCTTAGTCTTTTTATATCATTTAGATTTTTTCAAATTGATTAACGACTGACATGGTGAACATACTGTATATTTGGAGTTCCGAGTCAAACAGTTTTACAGTTCATGAGAAGAAGATTTTATTTATAATTCAGGATGGTGGAAAAACCTTGAGTCAAATTTGTTCGTTATGATGAGAAACATTGATATACCAAGCTTCGTGGTTATACGTCAAACAGGGCACTGCGGCTGAGCCTTAGTAGACTTTGAATGCTTATTACAGCACCACCTATTGGCCATATTGCCAAAGTATAATAATTGTTTTTACCAATCGCGCATTGTGATATTGCAACAAGTGCGAAAGAATAATCAGAAGAAAAAAATGATTCCATCAAAAACAAAAGGTTTTCTTGCAGCTTTGCTGTCAGCACCCCTAATAATAACATTCAGTACATAGTGTCAAGGTTATGTAAAATTCTTCAAAGCGACTGTAGTGTAGGCCCATTGATTTTACTGATTGATTTTACTGATATTCAGTTGTCTTCTCTGAATAGTTTTTAAATTAAACAAAGTCGCATACATGTCTCTGTATATCAACAAATAGTATGTCTCTGTATATCAAGAAGTAGTATGGCAAAAAATGAAAAACATTGTCTCTGCATGTCATGATGTATGCTATTCCCGAAGTAAGGATACAGGTTGGACTGCTTCGCCAAACTGACCAATCACTGGAGACCCCACTGTTAGTCCCACCACAGGGGTTGGTTCAGGAGTCGGAGGGGGTGTGGCTAACTGTGAGAAAGAGATGACTTTCAATTACATTTGAATATTGAACCATAGCATTGATACAATAGACATACAGTGCATTCGGAGAGTATTCAGACCCCTTCCCCTTTTCCCAAAAATGTTTACGTTACAGCCTTATTCTAAAAATGGATTAAATTAATTGTTTTCCTTATCAATCTACACACAACACCCCATAATGGCAAAGTGAAAACAGGTTTCTAGAAATGTTTGCAAATGTATTAAAATAAAAAACAAATAGCTTATTTACATAAGTATTCAGACCCTTTGCTGTGAGACTCAAAATTGAGCTCAGGTGCATCCTGTTTCCATTTATCATCCTTGGGATGTTTCTACAACTTGAGTGGAGTCCACCTGTGGTAAATTCAATTGATTGGACATGATTTGGAAAGGCACATACCTGTCTTTATAAGGTCCCACAGTTAACAGTGCACGTCAGAGGAAAAACCAAGCAATGAGGTTGAAGGAATTGTCCGTAGAGCTCCGAGACAGGATTGTGTCGAGGCACTAATCTGGGGAAGGGTACCAAAACATTTCTGCAGCATTGAAGGTCCCCAAGAACAATATGGCCATCATTCTTAAATGGAAGACGTTTGGAACCACCAAGACTCTTCCTAGAGCTGGCCGCCCGGCCAAACTGAGCAATCGGGGGAGAAGGGCCTTGGTCAGGGAGGTGACCAAGAACCTGATGGTCACTCTGACAGAGGTCCAGAGTTCCTCTGTGGAGATGGGAGAACCTCCCAGAAGGCCAACCATCTCTGCAGCACTCCACCAATCAGGCCTTTATGGTAGAGTGGCCAGATAGAAGCCAGTCCTCAGTAAAAGGCCACATGACAGCCCGCTTGGAGTTTGCCAAAAGGCACCTAAAGGACACCATGTGAAACAAGATTCTCTGGTCTATTGAAACCAAGATTGAACTCTTTGGCCTGAATGCCAAGCGTCACATCTGGAGGAACCCTGGCACCATCCCTACGGTGAAGCATGGTGGTGGCAGTATCATGCTTTAGGGATGTTTTTCAGTGGCAGGGACTGGGAGACTAGTCAGCATCGAGGGAAAGATGAACGGAGCAAAGTAGAGAGAGATCCTTGATGAAAACCTGCTCCAGAGTGCTCAGGATCTCAGATTGGGGTGAAGGTTCACCTTCCAACAGGACAACGACCCTAAGCACACAGCAAAGACAACGCAGGAGTGGCTTCAGGACAAGTCTCTGAATGTCCTTGAGTGGCCCAGCCAGAGCCTGGACTTAAACCCGATCGAACATCTCTGGAGACCTGAAAATAGCTGTGCAGCAACACTCCCCATCCAACCTGACAGAGCTTGAGAGGATCTGCAGAGAAGAATGGGAGAAACTCCCCAAATACAGGTGTGCCAAGCTTGTAGCATCATACCCAAGAAGACTTGAGGCTGTAATCGCTGCCAAAGGTGCTTCAACAAAGTACTGAGTAAAGGGTCTGAATACTTATGTAAATGTGATATTTAAGTTGTATTTTTATTTTTTAGAAACATTTATAAAAACCTGTTTTTGCTTTGTCATTATGGGTATTGTGTGTAGATTAATAAGGGGGGGAAAAAACTATTTAATCCATTTTAGAATAAGGCTGTAATGTAACAAATGTGGGGTCTGAATACTTTCCAAATGCACTGTACCAGGGTAGGAGTCAATTCCATTTCAATTTAGTCAATGCAGGAAGTAAACAGAAATTCCAATATTTAATTTAATCAGTCATGTGTTTTCATGGTCATCACCCACTCACTGTTAAAGGGATACTTCGGGATTTTGGCAACCATTTTTATGTCTCTGTGTCCAGTATGAAGGTAGTTAGAGGTAGTTTTGCGAGCCAATGCTAACTAGCGTTAGCGCAATGACTAGAAGTCTATAGGTATCTGTTAGCGCAATAACTACAACTAGCTTGCTAGTAGATACCCATAGAGACTTCCCGTCCTTGCGCTAATGCCAGTTAGCAACTTCCTTCAAACTGCATGCAGAGACATAAAAATGGTATCCACAAGTTAATCTGTCTCTGGGGAAGTATTGCCAAAATTCCAAAGTATCCCTTTAAGTTTGTCAAAGTCCCGACATCAGCGTATAGCTATTCTGCAACAGGGCTTTTTGACGCAAGAATGCGTGCACATCGTTCTAACGTGATGTTTGTTTGTAAACTAAAAATTGCACTATACACCATTGATTGAAAGCCTACCTGGAAACGGACAGTGTGCTTCTGCAACAGCTTCGTATCCGAGTCAGTGTCTACCAAGACCATGTTTACTGTTGCCATCGTGATCTCCCCTATAATTGTGTACCATATAAGATAGTCAACCTGCATGTGGAAAAGAATGAGAAGATGTGAGCTAGAAAGATTACATGGATATTCAGTCAACTTCTCAAATGTATTAATGTTCTTGGACAATTGTTTAATTTGATTGTTTAATCTCTAACCTTTGACACCACATTGAGACAGGAACCATTTTGTTCTCTCGGCTTAGGCCAACCAGGGCCAACTAGTGGAGTGACTGGGATCTAACACAAGAAGAGAATGCGAGGTCAGTGTGTGCGGTCCAAATCTTTCCCCTTAAGCCCTAAAGAATGCACTTCTTCACTCCCTTCCCCAAAGTACAGTGGCTAGTGAAAGTCTACACACCCCTTGCAGTCTTCAAATGTTGCTGCTTTAAATCAAAAACTGGATTAGATTATTATTTTATTTTTTACTGATCTCACAACCTACAATCCACATTCCAAATGAATAAACATTTCAAAACAAAAGATGTCTTGATTGCGTATGTCTTTACACCCCAGAGTTCATACTCGGTGGAAACACCTTTGGCAGCCATTAAAGCTGTTTTGTCAACATTTCTCAAGCTCAATACATTTGGTTGGAAATCATTGATGGAAATCAATATTCAAACCTTATCTAGGATTTTCAAGCAAATTTAATTCAGGACTGAGACTGGACCACTCAGGAACACTCAACACCTCTTGTAAAGCTATTATGTTGTGTCTTTGGCTTTAAAATGTGTGTAATTGTCCCGCTGAAAAATAAAACTAGCCCAGGGTTAGGTTTTCAGAAGGCTGAGGCGGGTTTGATCCTTTAAGATCCTGACAAACTTTCCAGTCCCTCCCGGTGACAAGCATACCCATAACATGATGCTGCAGCCACAATACTTAAAAATAGAGAGGGGTTCACTAGTGTGTTGTATTGAATTTGACCCAAACCTGTAGTTTTTAATTTAGGCTAACATTTTTAATTTATTTGCCGTGTTGTATTACTTAACGGCCTTATAGCAAACACAATGGATGATTTGGAGCGGATTGTTATTTATTTTTGTACTTTTTACTCCTTTTTCGTGATATCCAAATTGGTAGTTCCAGCCTTGTCCCATCGCTGCAACTCCTGTACGGACTCGGGAGAGACGAAGGTCGAGAGCCATGCGTCCTCCAAAACACGACCCTGACAAGCCGCACTGCTTCTTACATTTTACATTTTAGTAATTTAGCAGACGCTCTTATCCAGAGCGACTTACAGTTAGTGAGTGCATACATTTTTTCATACTGGCCCCCCGTGGGAAACGAACCCACAACCCTGGCGTTGCAAGCGCCATGCTCTACCAACTGAGCTACACGGGGCCTCTTGACACACTGCTCGCTTAACCCGGAAGCCAGCCGCACCAATGTGTCGGAATAAAACACTGTACAACTGGCGACCGTGTCAGCGTGCATGCGCCCGGCCCGCCACAGGAGTCGCTAGAACACGATGGGAAAAGGACATCCTGGCCGGCCAAACCCTCCCCTAACCCGGACGACGCTGGGCCAATTGTGCGTCGCCTCATGGGTCTCCCGATCGTGGCCAAGTAAAGAGGAAAACCCGCCATAGTCTTCTGAAAACCTAACCCTGGGATAAAGTTATATTTTTCAGTGGGCCAATTACACAAATTGTAATGCCAAAGACATACCCGAATGGCTTTCCGAGAGGTGTTGGAATGGTCCAGTCTTAGTCTTGACTAAAATCTGCTTGAATATAGCGGTCCATCATGATTCCCAACCAAATTCTGAACTTGTGCAATTTTTACAAAAACAATGGATATACTGTATGTTGCCCTAAGAGTTGTGCAAAGTTGGTAGTCTTATTCAAAATTATTCACAGCTGCAATGGCTGCCAAAGGTGCTTCCACCAATAATTAACTATGGGGTGTGAAAACATATGCAATCAAGACATCTTCATTTTTTATGTTTTATTAATTAGGAGCATTTTCTATAATTTTTCATTCACTTTGAAAATGTGGAGTAGGTTGTGTAGATCGGTAGGAAAAAAATCTAATTGAATCACTTTTTAGATTTCATTTAGGGCAGCAAAATGTGAAGACTGCAAGGTGTGTGTAGATTTTCACTAGCGACTGTATGTACTCATTTACCTTTCTCCCCGAAGGATGTACTCGTTCACTGCATATATTGAAAGCATGGGATTGGTATAAGAAGAAATAAGGTGGAGACGCTCTCCAGCTCCATGCTCACACCAATCCAATGCTTTGAAATCAATGAGGGGAAGTGAATGAGTGCACACTTCGGAAAGAGGCTAGAGAATGGGGCCGCAGAAAGTGAGTGCCATCCAATCTGAGACAAGTCACATGTTTTTGCCCTCTGTAATGTGTGGTCAATCTTACCAGATTATCTGGTAATATCTGAATGCTCTCATGGACTGGAATCTGTAATGACGACAATAATTAGTTGTGGTAGAATGTGTTAACATTACTGGAATCTTCACAGTGAAAGACAAGGCAATAGAAATGTTGCCAATTGCAACGAAGACGTTGAACTTCTTACATAGCACTGTGTTATTGCTGGTTTCTTAAAACAATATTAAAGGGAGATTACATGCACCTGCGTGCTAAAATAAGATTGATTGCAACGCAAAACCCACAAGAATAAACCAGTGATTTAGCTGATCTCACGTTGACACCAGATAGCTGCAACTTTTGGCGTCTAGGTTCTCTATTCCCGCCCCCAATGAAATAACGACATATCAGTAGCATCGGAGACCACAAGGCTGATGAATGTAAAATACTTATATCAGTACAACAATATAAAAGTAAGACATATTTCATTCTAACATTCAAACATTTAATCGTAAAATAGAAACATATTATAGCCTAATGTGCCATTTGAAATAACTTCATTAGACTACATTTTCATTTGATAAAAATTATATAACTCAATTATGATTGGCTTGATTTAGTTACACATTTTAAAATATGGACAGTGCAGGGATATCCCCCCCCATTTCATTTAGTCTCTGAGAAAATAAGCTAATTGATTGCACCCAAATTGGCAATTTTAATTGATAGGATTCAGATATTAAATAAATTGGAACACTTTACTTGACACCCAGCGCCATAACACGTCATGACAGTCATAACCATGTCATAATAACATAAGAGTGTCAAAACCCACAAAACCTACCACATAAGGCAAAACATTCCATTACACCATAGCCTACTTGTCAACAGTATGTTTATGTTATTTTAAAATGTTCTGAAATTGACCATATTAAATTATCATTGTAATTGTGCACACATTGATGTCAGACATGCACCTACCCCCCATGCTCTTTCTGATGACTGGGATGAATGCATGAGCAGACTTTAGGAGCACGACAAGACACCCTCTGTGACTGATGACTGACATAGGCCTATCACGTACATGCTCTTATCTGGCTTATATGATTATGATGGTCATAATGCTTCTTGACAGTGTCATAAAGTGTATTTTCTTAGTCCAAGTAAAGCGACACAGGATGGTCATAATGCTTCTTGACAGTGTCATAAGGTGCATTTTCTTATTCCAAGTAAAGCGACACAGGATGGTCATAATGCTTTATGACAGTGTCATAAAGTGTATTTTCTACAAGTTATTTAACCTTTTCACGCGTGAGTTCCAAATATCTCTAACCGTTGCCCCTGCATGAGTTTTTTCATGCGCGTGATGTCAGAATGCTCTCACTGTTCCAAACTGTGATTGTTACGCAACAAGACAGTTACCCGCGCTGCCCTCAAACCAAGGCACGCTGCCTACTAATTATCTATAGGTCGTCTCAACTTGTCAAATTCAAATTATTTTCTAACAGTTTGAATTAACCGGAAAGGCCGCTCAGCAAGGAAGAAGCCACTGCTCCAAAACCGCCATAAAAAAGCCAGACTACGGTTTGCAACTGCACATGGGGACAAAGATCATACTTTTTGGAGAAATGTCCTCTAGTCTGATGTAACAAAAATAGAACTGTTTGGCCATAATGACCATCGTTATGTTTGGAGGAAAAAGGGGGAGCTTGCAAGTTGAAGAACACCATCCCAACTGTGAAGCACGGGGTGGCAGCATCATGCTGTGGGAAGTTAAAGCTTGGTCACAAATGGGTCTTCCAAATGGACAATGACCCCAAGCATACTTCCAAAGTTGTGGCAAAATGGCTCAAGGACGTCAAGGTATTGGAGTGGCCATCACAAAGCCCTGACCTCAATCCTATAGAAAATGTGTGGGCAGAACTGAAAAAGCGTGTGCGAGCAAGGAGGCCTACAAACCTGACTCAGTTACGCCAACTCTGTCAGGAGGAATGGGCCAAAATTCCCCCAACTTATTGTGGGAAGCTTGTGGAAGGCTACCCGAAACGTTTGACCCAAGTTAAACAATTTAAAGGCAATGCTAACAAATTATAATTGAGTGTTTGTAAACTTCTGACCCACTGGGAATGTGATGAAAGAAATAAAAGCTGAAATAAATAATTCTCTCTACTATTATTCTGATATTTCACATTCTTAAAATAAAATGGTGATCCTAACTGACCTAAAACAGGGAATTTTTACTAGGATTAAATGTCAGGAATTGTGAAAAACTGAGTTTAAATGTATTTGGCTAAGGTGTATAAACTTCCGACTTCAACTGTATGTGTAAAATCCTTTTTTTTATGTTGTACTGATTATGATGAGCTAATGCTAAGCTATTTGCCGGCTATGTGTGGGACCATATTTGTTGACATTATACAATGCATTCTGGTTGTCACGTAAGCGTCTGTCAGACCAAAGATGTTATAACAAGAGATAGTTCACTCGACTGACTTATGGGTGCTTTCAAGACAACTGTGAACTCTGAAAAATACTAGGTAAAATCATGACGTCAATGATCTTCAGGTCGGAAAGTCGGAGCTCTAGAAAGAGTTCCCGAGTTGGATAACCGTTCAAAAATATTTTTCCCAGTCGGAGCTCGTTTTTCCCCTGAGTTGCCAGTTGTCTTGAACGCACTGAAGTCGGAAGTCAGAGATTTCCCAGTTCCCAGTTGTTTTGAACGTGGCATCAGATTGTAACTTTGGTACCTCAGGGTTGCCATCTCAGACCCCCCTTTCCAGGGTTTTGTTTGCACCCCATTTATTGATAAATCCCCCATCATAGTAATATTTCCTGCATCATATCCCCCCATGATACCTTCCCCCATTTCTACCCCCCATGGACTTGAAACCCCCCCACAAATGAAATGAACCCCCCCACAAACCCCCCTAAAATGGTTTCATCCCTGTTTAGCTTTCGCGCTACGGTTAGGCTAGGCAGTAGGCTTGTATTTGGTGTGATGATCTGTGAGGTGAAAACATGTTATTTGCTTTGTGATTTTGTCAAAAACTGTAAACGACCTGTCAAGTCATGTGCTCCAGTTCTTGTATTCACTGTAACAAGTACATCAACAATTTGTAATATGCTGAAAAGTGGCTAAACTAAGTTCATATTTTTGACTTTGTTTATTTGTGTCTCATAGTGAATGGCATTCTGGGATTAGGGAGTTTTTGCCAAGTCAAACATAAACAAACATGGCTGCCATCATAAAGAATTTAGCTGATGTTAGCTTAGCTGACACACATTTATTTTCTTAACAACATTACATTAGTCTCGTGCTCACCAGAGATGTGGTACATTGTAAACTAGTCTAGCTGTTAGGTCGCTAACTTATGTTTTGTTTTTTGTCAGCGCAACCTGTTATTTAGACTGGTTTATGGAATTAGTTTGGCTGTGGATGTGTTCCGTGTGATGCTTGGATGATGAAGTTCGCATTTATCTTTTACGATAAAAGGTCAAATAAAGTTTAAGACCTTTATTTTCCACCAGTACAAAAAAATATATAGATGCTGTTCAGACAATAATGCTGTTTAGACACGTTTGTTGCGTCATACGTTCTGTTGCTACTGTTCCAATCACATATTTGAGATCGTACGCTGCAGGGACCACTCAACAATGATCACAAATACGTGATCATACGCATCAAAGGGTTAAAATATGATGAAAAAAATGTACTAAAGAATTCATTACAACAACAAAGGACTTAAACAAACTTTCAAACGGAAGGCAACTTCTTGGCAGGAAAAAAACACATTTGAATAAATGTGGGTTGACACTTGTGTCATAACCAGCCATAAAATTATACAGTATATGGTCACAACAGGTGTAAATATGGGTCAAGACAGTGTTATGACCATATTATGACATGTTATGACAAGTTATGTCAGTTATTATGACATGGTTATGACCGTGTCATAGCGTGTCATGACGCTGGGTGTCAAGTAAAGTGTTACCAAATAATTATAGTACACAAAATCTAATTTGGACCAAACTTCTTCCTACTAATGAGTAAGACATGAGGAATCCAAATAAATGGTCAAAAGCCACCCACAGACCCCATGCAATCCCACCCCAACAACCAGTATCAGTTTTCTATGTTTGATGAGTAGTATGGAGCTGCGTCTTGGAGTATTGCTTCTCCATATTATGTAACGTATTCCCTGTGAATCTGGTAAATCCCCCCATTCAGAGAAATTTGTAATTGAAGTCGCTTGCATTATTTACCATAAAATACATTTAAATTGATAATTTGGGTGCAATCAATTAGCTTAATTTCTCAGAGATCAAATTATATTTCCACAAAATAATGATTCAGGAATGCTAATCGTATCTGTTACTAACCACAAACTATTTCAGAACAATCTGAGATGGTGGGTGTCGAAATCGTCTTTCTTGTGCTTTTTGAGGTGGAACGACCCTTGTACGGAATGATTGACAAATAGTTAAATCTAACCTTGGTCTGCTCAATAAGCAGGTTCAATAATACCCACCAGAGGGTGAAAATGTCTTCAAAGATTTTGAACTAAAAGTTAACACTGACATCTGCTTTAGGGAGCGGTAATTCAGTGGCCATTAATGGTTGCAATTGAAATCAGCTCTGCGGGTGATTTTATTGTGTATTGATCATTTAACAAGACCTTATCTTGTGTTAATACAGTGGCCAATGGTGGTTGCAATAGGCCCAAGGTGTTTAAGGTATTTATATTATAGAGATACTGTCCACATGCATCCAAACCTTGAGCACGCACATGCACACACACACTAACCTTGAGCAGGCTGATGCCATTGAAGTAGGACTGTGCATTGAGACTTGGGTCTGTGGCACAGGATTGGGGAGTCAGTGTGCGGGTGCAGGAGAGAGAAATAGATCGCAGGAACCCTACAAGGGGAGACCAGATATAGAAATATAGAACAAACCAAAAAACGTTTTAATAAAATAATGACTTGAGTACTGGTCATTAATGTACGCAATGGAAAACGAAAATGAGCGATTCTTATTGGACAAGTCCAGGTAGTCCTTCCCTGTTTCAGTCAGTTTTCTTCCATTTGGTGCCTAATGAACATGACCCAGGTCTCCCAAGACTGTTAGCACCACCCAGCAGTTCAGCCAACTGCAGCAGTAAATAAGATTTCTACTTTATTCAGAGTACAGGGGCAGGTTCAGCAGGACACAACGTTGGCCAACGTTCAGATAGACATTTATGTTCTACATAGCATATTTCTATCTGACATGTTGAAGGAATCATGTCAACTCTATTCATGGCATGTCTATCGGCAAGGTTCAACAACGTTTGGCTACTGAACAGTTGCCATCTTACTGGCAGGGTTACGCTCGACACAGGAAGATGTGGCGGCCCCTGGTGAAGGCTGTCGAAGGACCCCCCGAATGGAGGAGCTGTTGAAATGGGACATGATTGTGTCATCAACCTGCGACAAAGTAAGAAGACTGATCAGAGGAGAGAAAAATTACTACGCCTGTCTGAATGATTCAATCGCTGGTTAAGATAGTTATTATACAGACACCACATCTCAACATACCCTGTAGAAATCTTTGGTGTGGGTACTATAAGTTGCGGATCCCTTCCAATAGAAGTGGTATGAGGCGTACAATGGTGTATTAGCAAGAGCTGGAAGGGTCTGGGAAACTGTAGTTTTATCTGTAGAAAAGGAATGGATGGATCACTATCAGGAAAAAACACCCGTAAAAACATTTATGTGTGTGTGTGTGTGTGTGTGAGATTACCCTCTTCTGGTCGAATGCAGACAAATTTGTTTGTGACAGTGACGCATGAAGGATCCACATTGACTCTGAACATCAACCAGCTCTCAATGCATTCACCATATCTGCAAAACATCAAACAATTCAATTGGTAAAATCAATGTTCCTTGATGTGCTTTAGCAATGCATAACTAAAGAAATCTGATCAATTGCAGTCATTTACTTTACAGTGCATTCATAAAGTATTCAGACTCCTTCACCATTTCCACATTTTGTTACGTTACAGTCTTATTCTAAAATAGATTACATTTTTAAAAATCCTCAATCTACACACAATGCCCCATAATGACAAAGCGAAAACAAGTTTTTAGAAATGTTTGCAAATCTATTAAAAATAAACAGAAATACCTTATTTACATAAGTATTCAGACCCTTTGCTCTGAGACTCGAAATTGAGCTCAGGTGCATCCTGTTTCCATTGATCATCCTTGATGTTTCTACAACTTGATTGGAGTCTACCTGTGGTAAATTCAATTGATTGGACATTATTTGGAAAGGCACACACCTGTCTATATAAGGTCCCACAGTTGACAGTGCATGTCAGAAGAAAAACCAAGCCATGAGGTCAAAGGAATTGTCTGTAGAGCTCAGAGACAGGATTGTGTCGAGGCACAGATCCGGGGAAGGGTACCAAAACATTTCTGCAGCATTGAAGGTCCCCAAGAACACAGTGGCCTCCATCATTCTTAAATGGAAGAAGCTTGGAACCACCAAGACTCTTCCTAGAGCTGGCCGCCCGGCCAAACTGAGCAATCGGGGGAGAAGGGCCTTGGTCAGGGAGGTGACCAAGAACCCGATGGTCACTCTGACAGAGCTCCAGAGTTCCTCTGCAGCACTCCACCAATCAGGCATTTATGGTAGAGTGGCCAGACGGAAGCCAGTCCTCAGTAAAAGGCACATGACAGCCCGCTTGGAGTTTGCCAAAAGGCACCTAAAGGACTCTCAGACCATGAGAAACAAGATTCTCTGGTCTGATGAAACCAAGATTGAACTCTTTGGCCTGCATGCCAAGCATCACATCTGGAGGAAACCAGGCACCGCTCATCACCTGGCCAATACCCTCCCTACGGTGAAGCATGGTGGTGGCAGCATCATGCTGTGGGGATGTTTTTCAGCGGCAGGGACTGGGAGACTAGTCAGGATCGAGGGAAAGATGAACGGCACAAAGTACAAAGAGATCCTTGATGAAAACCTGCTCCAGAGTGGAGCGAAGGTTCACCTTCCAACAGGACAACGACCCTAAGCACACAGCCAAGACAACGCAGGAGTGGCTTCGGGACAAGTCTCTGAATGTCCTTGAGTGGCCCAGCCAGAACCCAGACTTGAACCGGATCGAACATCTCTGGAGAGACCTGAAAATAGCTGTGCAGCGACGCTCCCCATCCAACATAACAGAGCTTGAGAGGATCTGCAGAGAAGAATGGGAGAAACTCCCCAAATACAGGTGTGCCAAGCTTGTAGCGTCATACCCAAGAAGACTCGAGGCTGTAATCGCTGCCAAAAGTACTTCAACTAAATACTGGGTAAAGGGTCTGAATACTCATGTATATTACATATTTCAGTTTTACATTTTTTATAAATTTGCAAACATTCATAAAAAACTGTTTTTCTTTGTCATTATGAGGTATTGTGTGTAGATTGAGGGAAAAAAAACAATTTAATCAATTTTAGAATAAGGCTGTAACGTAACAAAATGTGGAAAAAGTTAAGGGGTCTGAATACTTTCCGAATGCACTGTATATCCCAACTTGACACCTATGTAGCGAACAGTGGCAGTGAACGCAGCGTCCCTTGTGAGGATCAAACCTGGATCACAGGCTTATTAACTTACATGATTTCATCTAAACATCCATTGAAGACAGAGCTCAAGTCAGGGATGTCGCAGTCCACAATGTCACAGCAGCAGCCAATATCACAGAAGTCTGGTGTCAAATCACATAAACACACTACAAGACAGCAAAGGTTAATCTCAAAACTATTGCAGTGCACTAGTGTATTTTTCTATGACAATATTTGACATACTTGTGATGTGTAACTATCTACCTACCTACCCTTTGGAGTCAGAATTGCTTTGGCAGTAGTTGCAACAGGAGGAGGGACAGTTTCAGCGACTGGCTCAGTGGTGGCTTCAGATGATGGCACCAGGTCCGAGGTTACCGTGGAAACATCATCTTGAGTGACAGTTTCAGCAGAAGCAGTTGCAAAAGTATCCAATGCATTGGTTGATACGGTATACATCGGGTCAGTGGTACTGAAAGGCTCATAGGTTGTTTGACTGTTCGTTGTTATTGAAGACTCTGTGTTGACTCCTCCATCTGTGGCCGCATGGGTCACACGTACAGAGAGGACAATAACTAGCTGCACTGCACGATACAAACGGTATGTGGACATGTTTTGTCTAACAGGTGCGAACTCTCTCTACGGCTAACGTTAACGTAAAAACATAGCTAACGTTAGCTAGCAACCTGATTTGGCTTGTATAGGTTGCAAAGCTACTTCTGCATCACGTTTGCTAGCACAGCGAAACAACAGCTAACATAAACTAGGAAACAAGAGACGAATTACTCACATGTGCATTTATCTATGCACTAAAATCAAACATTCTTGAAGACATGCTAACAAAATGTAGCTATAAAAAAAGCCTCACGTTGCCAAGGAAGCTGAAACCGCTTGGGTTACATCCGTTTCTTTTTCTTCTTCTATGGTATTTTGGAGGTCCGCAAACAATCCTTAGAGGTGCATGCCGCTACACACCGTGTACAGGTGGTAAACTATACAACAAATATCCATTGTAGGAAAGCAATAAAAAAACTGCCATCAAAATACAAACACAGACACATAAAAAAAAGTAAAATCCACCGGAAATCTATCTAGCACGTTGGGGGCGATGAAACAACGGAGGCCAATTAATTTTCAATGAAGCGAAATGGGCGAGGGAGCATAAACAGGGCAGGACCAAAGTTGGGGAAAGTTGGGCCATGTTCAGTTGCCAAACGTTCACGAACGTTACAGATAAAAATGCCAAGAATAGAACCGGTGTAATTCCGTATGCTACATATCAGAGAGGCATGTGTGGTCTACATAGCTTGTTTCTATCTGAACATTGCAAAACGTTCAATCCTGGTGAACCCACCCCAAACGGTTTTACATACAGAATAAAACGAAATGCTCTGAAACCAGGTTGCAGCAGAAGAGCTATGGAACGCCACTGGGTGGTAAGGTATGAATCCTTTGGGTTTCCATAAAAAGCGGGAAAAAACGCTTCTCATCTCTGTGGTAGGCTAAGTGAATAACGTGATATGCCTCTGCCTGTAATATTTTTATTTGGATTTAAAAGGGTGGGGTCAAGTTTACCGTTGAAGCTGCTTCACTCTTAGTTATAGATGTAAAAAGCGTTAGTGTTATTAGCCTTAGCCCATTTAAATAGCTCGAACCAGCTAATCTGCCACGATGGATATCAGAAATGGTCTTTGCCAAAGTACCCAAACAAAGGAGAAGGAGAGCGATGACCAGCAGCAGCAGCATCAAACCACTGAGGCCACCGCAAAAAAAAAAAAAAAAAAAAAAACACTGTATAGCCTCAAAGCATGGTTAAAACTATACGTTAGATATCATGGATGGTTAGTCCTTGTATCCATAGCTATGAATTTGACAGTGGTTACATTTCTCCAGCCCCATCCCTCAGCTTTTTACTGAAACAGTGGCAGGGAGGACACTTTGTTATTGTTTCAACTGCTGATTTCAACTGAGATGTGATATGAGAAATAATAAGATTCCACAGAGTATGATCACAACAGCCTCAATGTCCTTTTAAATACCAGAATAGGCATAATAGAACTGTATGCCCTCACATTTTGTTTATGACCCTAAAGGTGATCCTTTCTTCAAAAACGAGTTTAAAAGTGCCCAACTCTGGGTGAGATGGTAGGTAATTGCTTGGAAAGGAGGAATAATGTACATCTATTATGTGAACAATTTGCAACCCTCTGTATTGTGTTGTGTCAAAGCAACATTATTGTTTTTATTAAATTAAAAACAACCAAACATTTTAAAATAAATATTTCAATGTACAAACATGGTCAGCAACTTTGCATTGTTTAAAGGCCAACTATCTCAAACTCGCATAGGCATTTCTTTGTATGCATTTTTCAGAGGCCACTCCCCCTCAGTTGCGAAATTTGTGATGGCTCCATAACTAGATCTGACTAGGAATCATAAAACTACCTATGTACCAAACATTGAATACAGGTGAACACATTATTCATCCAAAGGCATGAACTAGGTGTGACACACACAACCCCTCTCTACCAGCCCCTCTCAATTCAATTGATTGGACATGATTTGGAAAGGCACACACCTGTCTATATAAGGTCCCACAGTTGACAGTGCATGTCAGAGCAAAAGCCATGAGGTCGAATGAATTTTCTGTGGTGCTCAAGACAGGATTGTGTTTCGGCACAGATCTGGGGAAGGGAACCAAAACATTTCTGCAGCATTGAAGGTCCCCAAGAACACAGTGGCCTCCATCATTCTTAAATGGAAGACGTTTGGAACCACCAAGACTCTTCCTAGAGCAGGCCGCCCGGCCAAACTGAGCAATCGGGGGAGAAGGGCCTTGGTCAGGGAGTTGACCAAGAACCCGATGGTCACTCTGACAGAGCTTCAGAGTTTCTCTGTGGAGATGGGAGAACCTTCCAGAAGGACAACTATCTCTGCAGCACTCCACCAATCAGGCCTTTATGGTAGAATGGCCAGACAGCCACTCCTCAGTAAATGGTACATGACAGCCCGCTTGGAGTTTGCCAAAAGGCACCTAAAGGACTCTCAGACCATGAGAAACAAGATTCTCTGGTCTGATGAAACCAAGATTGAACTATTTGGCCTGAATGCTAATGTCTGGAGGAAACCAAGCACCGCTCATCACCTGGCCAATACCATCCCTACGGTGAAGCATAGTGGTGGCAGCATCATGCTGTGGGGATGGTTTTCAGTGGCAGGGACTGGGAGACTAGTCAGGATTGATGGAAAGATGAACGGAGCAAAGTACAGAGAGATCCTTGATGAAAACCTGCTCCAGAGTGCTCAGGACCTCAGACTGGGGTGAAGGTTCAGCTTCTAACAGGACAACGACCCTAAGCACACAGCCAAGACAACGCAGGAGTGGCTTCGGGACAAGTCTCTGAATGTCCTTGAGTGGCCCAGCCAGAGCCCGGAATTGAACCCGATCAAACATCTCTGGAGAGACCTGAAAATAGCTGTGCAGCGACACTCCCCATCCAACCTGACAGAGCTTGAGAGGATCTGCAGAGAAGAATGGGAGAAATTCCCAAATACAGGTGTGCCAAGCTTGTAGCGTCATATCCAAGAAGACTCGAGGCTGTAATCGCTGCCAAAAGTGCTTCAACAAAGTACTGAGTAAAGGGTTTGAATACTTATGTAAATGTGATATTTCCGTTTTTTATTTTGAATAAATGTGCTAATATTTATAAAAAACTGTTTTTGCTTTGTCATTAAGAGGTATTGTGTGTAGATTGATGAGGGGAAAAAACTATTTAATATATTTTAGAATAAGGCTATAACATATCAAAATGTGACCGATCAGCTCGTTTCGGTCTTAAGTAGCAAAATTTGAAATTGTGTTTTTTACATTGGATAAAAGTAGAGACTCAAGAGTTAGAAAATTGTATGTCATACACTACAGTTGAGGAACAATGGGAAAGTAATTCTGCTTTGAAAGTTGATAAACTTGTAACCTCACTTTTGAGAAAATGGTCTTTGAATGTTTTAGGACACCCACTGGAGAGCTCTTCTTTGTCTACACCCATTCAGCATAGTTCACACCCTCTTAAGCTATAGCCCCGCCCGTAAACTCTGAGCGTTGTCAGATTGTCAGTTCGTAAATTCAGAGTGTTTTGCTCTCGGAGCGTTCAGAGCGCACACTGGACGCTCTGGTAGAGGAGTAGGGTTGATCAGAGCGTTGTCCTAACAGCAGTCAAGCACCCAAACTAACGTTGGCAAGCTTGCTAGCTACTTCCAGAGAACAGCTCACTCTGACCATTTTATTCGCCCTAGCAGGGCTGGTTAGGCTATTTTTATGTTATCCAGAGCGTTGGTGACTGCAACTGTGCTGCTGGCAACAATTGAATTATGCTTTTTTGCCAACGTTTACTGACACCGGCCATATTCAATGGGTGTTGAGCATTCATAAATTTGTCAGTTATTCTGTGCTCTGGCACACTCAGACGAGAGTGCTCTGAAATAAGAGTAGATAGCCAGAGCGAATTTACCAGCTATGTCTATCAATAGTTGTCGCATTGACATCTTTCTTAATGGATGCCGTTTTACAGCCCCTCTAACCAATTCTACTATTATGTGTGTTTTTTCATGTTATTTGTAATTTATTCTGTACATAATGTTTCTGCCACCGTCTCTTATGACCAAAAAGAGCTTCTGTATATCAGGACAGCGATTACTCACCTCGTATTGGACAAATATTTTTTCTTCAACGAGTCGGAAGCAAAGGATATTCTACAGACACCTGACAAGGCCCAAATCCCTGTCATTCGCATGAGAAAGAGACAGAGAAATCGTGGACGTACAGTTGAAGTCGGAAGTTACATACAGCTTAGCCAAATACATTTAAACTCAGTTTTTCACAATTCCTGACATTTAATCCTAGTAATAATTCCCTGTCTTAGGTCAGTTAGGATCACCACTTTATTTTAAGAATGTGAAATGTCAGAATAATAGTAGAGAGAATGATTTATTTCAGCTTTTATTTCTTTCATCACATTCGCAGTGGGTCAGATGTTTACATACACTCAATTAGTATTTGGTAGCATTGCCTTTAAATTGTTTAACTTGGGTCAAACATTTCGGGTAGCCTTCCACAAGCTTCCCACAATAATTTGGGTGAATTTTGGCCCATTCCTACTGACAGAGCTGTTGTAACTGAGTCAGGTTTGTAGGCCTCCTTGCTCGCACACACTTTTTTAGTTCTGCCCACAGATTTTCTATAGGATTGAGGTCAGGGCTTTGTGATGGCCACTCCAATACCTTGACTTTGTTGTCCTTAAGCCATTTTGGCACAACTTTGGAAGTATGCTTGGGGTCATTGTCCACTTGGAAGACCCATTTGCGACCAAGCTTTAACTTCCTGACTGATGTCTTGAGATGTTGCTTCAATATATTCACATAATGTTCCTTCCTCATGATGCCATCTATTTTGTGAAGCGCACCAGTCCCTCCTGTAGCAAAGCACCCCCACAGCATGATGCTGCCACCCCCATGCTTCACGGTTGGGATGGTGTTCTTCAGCTTGCAAGCATTCCCCTTTTTCCTCCAAATATAATGATGGTCATTATGGCCAAACAGTTCTATTTTTGTTTCATCAGACCAGAGGACATTTCTCCAAAAAGTATGATCTTTGTCCCCATGTGCAGTTGCAAACCGTAGTCTGGCTTTTTTATGGCGGTTTTGGAGCAGTGGCTTCTTCCTTGCTGAGCGGCCTTTCAGGTTATGTCGATATAGGACTCGTTTTACTGTGGATATACATACTTTTGTACTTGTTTCCTCCAGCATCTTCACAAGGTAATTTTCTTTTGTTCTGGGATTGATTTGCACTTTTCGCACCAAAGTACGTTCATCTCTAGGAGTTAGAACACGT